CAAGATGTTCCAGGCTTCACTGGTTCCCTTTTCTGGGATCCTTTTATGTTTGTTGTTTGTGTTTGGGGTTCCATAGTGGTTGTACGAGTTTGTACTCCCACAGCAATGGGTGGGTGTTCCCCTTACTCCACAAGTAACCAGCATGAGCTGTCATTTTTGTAATGTTCTTAGCCATCCTGAGGAAGGCATTTTCCTGATGAATAAGGATGCTGAACATCTCTTCAAATGTTTCTTAGCCATTTGAGTTTCCTTCTGTGAGAATTCTCTTTTTAAATATATACCGTTTTTTAAATTGTGTTATTTACTTTCTTGGAATTTAGCTTCTAGAGTTCTTTGTGTCTTTTGTGCCCTCCACTGAACACATAGTTGGTAAAAACTCTTCTCCCATTCTGTAGGCTGCCATTTTGCCAAGATGATGACACCCTTTGTCATGCAGAAACTTTGCAGTTTCGTGAAATTCCACTTATATTAATTGTTGAAATTAGTGCCTGAGCTAACAGTGTTCTGTTTCTGAGTTTTTTCCTGTGCCAATGGATTTGAAGGCTATTCCTCACTTTCTCTTCTTTTTGTGTTGAAGTCTTTGATCTATTTTGAGTTGAGTTTTGTGCAGGGTGATAAGTATAGATCTATCTACATTCTTCTGCATCCTGACATCCAGTTAGACCAGCATGCACTTTTAGCTTCTTCTTAAAAATCAGATGTGGATAGGTGTGTGGATTTTGTTCTGGGTCGTCAGTTCTATGCCACTGTTCAGCATGTTTGTTTTTGTGCCAGTACCATGCTGTTTTATTACTATAGCTGTAATACAATTTGAGGTTAAGGATAGTGATACCTCCCACAGTTCTTTTATTACTCAGGATTATTTTAACTATCCTGGGATTTTTGTGTATGTTTCCATGAAAAATTATAAACTGTCCTTTAAAGATATGTGAAGAGTTGTGTTGGAATTCTGATGGGGATTACACTGAACCTGTAGATTGTGTTTGGTAGCATGGCCGTTTTCACTTCAGTAATCCTACTGATCCAAGAGCTCCTTCCATATTCTGATGTCTTCTTCAGTTTCTTTCTTCAGTGTCTCAAAGTTTTTAGCATATAAGTCTTTTACTTGTTTTCTTAGAGTTACCTCAAGATATTCTATATTATTTGAGGCTATTGTGAAAAGTGTTGTTTCCCTGATTTCTTTCTCAGTCTGTTTGTCTATTGTGTATATTTTAGTGAGTTCATTTTGTAGCCAGCCACTATGGTGAAAGTGTGGATCGGCTGTAGGAGTATCCTGGTGGAATTTTGGAAGTCGCTTATGTATAACTTCCTATTACCTGTATGTAAAAGTACTTTGACTTCTTCCTTTCCAATGTGTATCCCTTGGTCTCCTTCAGTTGCATTACTGCTCTAGCTAAGACTTCACAAATACTATATTGAATAGATATGGAGAGAGTGGACAACCTTATCTTGTTCCTGATTTTGGTGGCAGTGCCTTTGAGTTTCTCTCCATTTGGATTGTTGTTGGCTGTAGGCTTGCTGTACATTGTGTTTACTAGGTTGAGCTATATCCCTTGTATCCCTGATCTCTCCAGGACTTTTCCCATGAAAGGAGTGTTGGATTTTGTCAGTAGCTTTTTTTGCATCTAATGAGATGATCATACGGTTTTGTCTTTCTGTTTGTATGGAGGATTACATTTACCAATTTTATATTTGTTAAACTATCCCTGCATCTCGCAGGTGAAACCTACCTGGTCATGATGGATGACCTTTTTTATGTGTATTGGATTAGGTTTACAAATACTTTATTGAGAATATTTGCATCTACTTTCCTAAGGGAAATTGATCTGTAATTCTCCTTCTTTGTTGGGTCTTTATGTGGTTTGGGTATCAGGATAACTGTGGCCTCATAAAACAAATTGCACAGTGTTCCTTCTGTTTCCACTTTGTGGGATAATTTGAGAAGTATTGGCATTAACTCTTCTTTGAAAGTCTGTTAGAATCCTGTGTTAAAACCATCTGGTCCTAGACTGTTTTTGATTTGGAGACTTTTGATAACTACTTCCATTTCACTAGGGATTATAGCTCTGTTTTTTTATATTGGATTATTTGTTAAATTGATTATCTAATCTTGATCTAACTTTGGTAAGTGGTACCTATCAAGAGAACTACCCATTTCTTTTAGATTTTCCAATTTGGTAGAGTACAGCTTGTTTTTAAAAGTATGTTCTTATGATTCTCTGGATTTCTTTAGTGTCTGTTTTTATGCTCCCTTTCACCTCTAGTATTGCTAATTTGGATCTTCTCTCTGTGTCTTTCAGTTAATTTGGATAAAGGTTTCTCAGTATTACTGATTTTTTTCTCAAAGAACCAAATCTTTGTTTCATTGAATCTTTGTATTGTTTTGTTGTTACTGTTTCTATTTTATTGGTGTCAGCTCTGAGTGTGATTGCCTTGTCCCTTGCCATCTCCTCCTTTTGGGTTTGATTTCTTCTCTATTCTAGATCTTTCAGATGTGCTGTTGAGATCTCTCCAATTTGTTAACATAACAGTGCTATGAACTTGCCTCTTGGAACTGCCTTCATTGTATCTCATGAGTTTGGGTATGTTGTGTATTCATTTTCACTCAGTTCAAGAAAGTTTTTAATTTCTTCCTTAATTTCTGTCCTGGTCCACTTTTTATTCAGTAGAGAGTTGTTCAGTTTCTGTGCACTTGTGGGTTTTCTGTTGTTGATACCCAACTTTAATCCATGGTTGTCAGATAGGATGCAGGGTGTTATATCAGTTCTCTCGTATCTGTTGAGACTTTCTTTGTATCAGAGTATTTGTTCAGTTTTGGAGAAAGTTCCTTAAGGTATTGAGGAGAAGTTATATTCTTCTGTGTTTGGGCAAAATGTTCTGAAAATATCTTGGGTCCATTTGGTTTATAATGTCAGTTGGGTCCAGTATTTCTCTGTTTGACCTGTCTGTTGGAGAGAGTAGAGTACTAAAGGCTCCCACTATCAGTGGGTGTGACTTAATATCTGATTTAAGTATTTCTCTTATTGACTTGGGTGTCCTTGTTGTTTGGTGCATAGATGTTAGAATTACAGTGTCCTGTTGTTGGTAGATTTTCCCTTTGATGATGTCCTTCCCCATCTGTTCTGTCTGGTTACGGTTTGAAGTCTTTCATAAGGCTTCTATGAAAATCAGACAAGCTTATTTTTTTTTTTTTATCACCCAACAAACTGCACCAATGACTTGCAAGTAGGCAAAAGCAGAGGACATTAGGAAGAGATTTATGTCTTAAACCTGGCATCATCCTCACCATAAAACAATGCTCGCAGTCTTGCAGATCTAGTTTCACGAAAAACTGAAGTCCAGGCTGGTGCTTCACACCTCTGTAGACAGCTCTACTGAGAAGCTGAACTGGACTTGAGACCCAGCAGCCTAAACCACTAGCTGAGTTACAACCCAGTATTCTTAGTTCAGACAGGCAGGTTATTAGACGAAGTCGAGCATTTTGTGCGTCTGTGTGCGCTCAAGGATCTCAGCAGGAGATTCAAGATCAGGAAAGGCAGGGAACAGCTAGTGCCAGTGGCTGCTGGGGCAATGAGAACACAGGATTGTGTTGGAGCTGCCAGTCTGAACAGACTCTGTTGGGGTGGTCCTGAGACCTAAGCTGCCTGTGAAGGTTGTTCCAGTTGCAGATGCTAAGACCCGCGCTCCTTAAGTTCAGGGCGCACAGGCTCCTGGGAGTGCTGCTTGTCATGCGGACCCTGTTGTGCAAGGTCCTCAGCTGCCTTTTCGTGCTAAGGTTACAGGGAGCAGGGACATTGTCTGTTCATGTCTGTAAAGTATTTGAGAGTTACCATGTCATGTGTAACAGGAACATGGTTTCTGCAGAGAGGGATTGAGATTCATGAGATGTGAGGGGTCAAATAAAACATGGGAATTTAGAAACTGATGAGGGAGGGAACCTTGGAGTTGAAGTTGCTTCTGGTGGAAATCACCGACCTGAGCCAGGTAGATCTCAAGTCCCTGCTCAGCTGCTTACTCAGACAGTTGGTCTTTCTGGGCCTTAGTTTCCTTTTCAAGCCCCGTGTGTCTTCTAGAATTGTCCAGATAAGTGACTACTTGTACAACTGTCATGCACTTGACAGTGATCTGTTAACTGTCCTGGTTCGTATTGTCTCTTAAGGATATTTAACTCTCTCGAAACAACTAATGATGTGACAGAGTGCTTATGTAAGCCAAGCTACTGTGTCCCCATGCTGCCTGGCTGTACAACAACAAGCAAGTCTCTTAAACACCTATACCTTGTTGGTTTGTCATTATCGAGGCTTTTTAAAATATAAAACTAGATATTTTATAAAACTAAATACCAGTTTCTTAGGGCGGTTGTATTAAATTAAGTGATTGTAGAAACATAGTAACAACTAATGATTGTCATTAAAAGAGTATCTTTAGACATTTCGCAAACTACTCCAGCTTTTGCTTCCTATTTAATGTATCATTTATTTCATGTTTGTGATGCATATGTAACCTATTGTGATGAATATTAAGACATAACTTTTAAGTTGCATTTCTCTGTATGCATGCACCACAGCACTCACTTGAAGGTCACAGGACAACTTCTTTCCTTCCTCCATGTCTATGTCCGGGAGAGCAAACTCGGGTCTCCAACCTTAGTGACAAGCACCTTCACCTGCTGAGCCATCTTGCTGGCCCCAGAACATAAATGTTGTATCTTAAATAATGAGCAGAAACTTCTGAATTGGTAAAGCATTTGTATACATATTTTTGTTGTTGAAAAACAGACCATTCTGAGGCTGTTGAGTTGACGATGTGGGTAGAGGTGCTTACCGTGTGAGCCCATGCTCCAAGTTCAGTCTCTAGGACCTACTTATGGGTGGAAGGAGAGAGTGAATTCACAAAGTTGTGTTACATACACACACGGGGGTGGGGGGAGAGGGAGAAAGGGGGAAAGAGAATTTAAAAGAAAGAAATGCCGCCCTGCATTGTCCTTTTTCGATTTCCAGATTATTCAGAGCTTGGAGAGCTCCCACCACGATCCCCGTTAGAGCCAGTGTGTGAAGATGGACCATTTGGCCCTGTACCGGAAGAAAAGAAGAAGACATCGAGAGAGCTTCGAGAGCTGTGGAAAAAGGCTATTCTGCAGCAGATACTGCTGCTCAGGATGGAGAAGGAGAATCAGAAGTTGCAAGGTTGGTTTGGAGGTTGACGCTGATCAAAACTGATGCTCTTAGTTGACCTTGCACACAGGATACAGTCTTAACCATACATGTCTGTTTACTCTTTCAAAGTCATATTGACACCACTTACTTTCCAGACATTTAAAGGGAATCGTACTATGTTAGGTATTCCAGTGTTCCAGCATGGCATCATAAGCACCATGTCTATAACTTCTGAAATATAAGCACCGTTTAATCACTAACCCTCAGAAGTGGTTTGTATTGGTTGGTTGGTTGATTGGTTGGTTGGTTGGTTGGTCTGTGTTGTTGTGATAATAGATTTGTGGTGGGTTATGAGTTTTCTTTTTTCTTTTTTTAATCCTCAGCCATAATATTGAGAATAAATTGATCCTATATAAATCTTTAAGGTTATAACTTCATTTTATGTGGCTGTTTAATGAGTTCCTGAAGAAAAAAAAAAAAAAAAAAAGAAAAGAAAGAAACAGCTTTTCCTGTATGGATACACCAACTGTAGGTGGACTTTCTGTGGACCACCAGCTCCCAAATAATGACACAGAGACTTCTTACTATGTATGAAAGCTTGGACTTAGCTAGGCTTATTCCCAAGTAGCTGTTATAACTTTAACCGGTTTATATTAATCTACATTCTGCCACATGGTTTGTTATCTCTCCTCCATACTGTACACCCAACTCCCTTTCCATCTTGCTGGTGAATCCCACCTCTTTTCTCCCCAAAGTTCCTATCTCTTTCCAGAAATCCTTCCTATCCTCTCCTGCCTAGCTATTGGCCGTTTTTTGTTTTTTTTTGTTTTTTTTTTTTTTTTTTTGGCTCTTTATTTTACCAATCAGAATGTGCCTTGACAGAGACCACATCTTCACAGTGCACAAAAAGATTATCCCACTATAACCAACATTATCAAAATATGACAGGAACTTAGAAATTTAAGTTGTATTTGTTTCCTGTTTCATTTCAAGACTTGAATCAATAGATGCCATTTTCAGAGTAGCTTATGCATCCACATATGTGTCCCCTGTGGGAAGCAAGTGCCAACTGAATTTGAAACCCTAATGATTTTGCATGGGGGTTCTGAACACTCCTGTAGCATGAGGTTCACTCGTGGTGACATTGCTTAAGGCAGTTTCAAAGTTAGTGTGTTTCACTGAGTACCATCCTTGGTCATAGGCTTCTGGGCTAGGGATGGGGACTTTTGTCCACTTCTCTGAGCACTGGACCCACCTGGCAGTGGCCAGTGCAGGCCCTGTCTCTCTGTGAGTTCGTTTGTGCAGTCCTGATGTGTTTAGAAGCTTGGTTCCCCTTCCCATCTGACTTTTACAATCTTTCTGCCTCCTCTTAGTAAGGTTCACTGAGCCCTGAGGGGAAGGAATTGATGGAGACATCCTGTTTAGAAATGAGTGCCCCTCATCTACTGCAGAAGGAAGCTTCTCTGCTTAGTCATGGAATTTATTTTTAATGTTTTTTTTTTGTTGTTGTTGTTTTGTTTTACCTTATAGACCCTTTGTGTATATATTATAGCTTCTCTCTCTCTCTCTCTCTCTCTCTCTCTCTCTCTCTCACACACACACACACACACACAGCATACACACACGGCGGTGGGGGGGGGTGTCTGGGGCATCGGGTAACAGTTATGTATTTGGAGATCTCTATTGGAAACTGAAAAGGCAGTAAGACTCACTATGTGGGTCCTCATGCTTAGTGCTTTTCAGCCAGTCTTGCAGGTGACCAGGTAAATGAAAACCGAGGCATACCTACAGAAGGAGCATGAGACTGTCTGCCCTTGTCATGACTGTACCTGGTGAAGAAGAACCAGTATACACCAGAAGCCTGAGCATGAGCAGCTGAGTGGATGCGGGGTTGCCTTGGTCACCGGGCCAGGGGCTGTGTTGTGCCCACTGGCTGCTTTAGCAGGCTTGTCGGCAGTGTTTATTCTGGTGGTCTTAGCGCATTACTGCTTGAGTTCATTTATTTATCTTACCTCTGTACAGCCCAGGATATGTTCATCTTGTGGTCAGAGTGCAATCTACTTGCTAAATTTAACATAGGAAGCATTAATTCCTTAGTTTGTGCAAACCTGTATTACTGAGATGTAATCGACAGTACCAAGTTGATTACTTAAAAATATGTAGTAAGCTTGATAGGAGTGAGTTGGGTGGACAGAATTTTCTCTTTAAATACAGAAGCACAGAAGCTAGATCAGACAGGAACCAATCAGAGGGTGTACTGTGTACACAGAACCGTTATTCTTTAATTTGTCTTTTTTTTTTCCCATACACTTCTTAAAAGAAGTTGAAGTTGCAGGTGTGCATGGGTCCTGAAATTGATCAGAGTCCAAGCTTGCATGCCCTTTGGAAAAGAAAATAGAGGAGTGTGCATGACAAAGGCTTTCTCTGGATAACACAGCTTTCTGCTTTTTGAGTACATGATCCAGTGCTAATCACCACTCCAGAAACCTTGCATCCTGGAGAGACGCTAACCCCACCATCACATCTGCCTGTCTGTGTTGTTGACTCTTGGCAGCTGGCAGCTGGGATTGCGATTTTTCCAGGGACACGGATAACTTGTGCTGGTGTTAGGACTGTTACATTGTCCTAGTTGGCTTTCTGTTGCTGTGATAAAACACTAAAAAAAAAAAAAGTCAACTTGGAGAGAAAAAACAGGTTTATTTGACGAAAGTTACCGTCCATCACCAGGAAAAAAACAGGGCAGGGGCTCAAGGTAGGAACCAGGAGGCCGGGTCTGAAGCAGAAGCCATGAGGATGCTGCTCACTGACTGGGTTCCATCACCTGGCTTGCTCAGCGGCCTTTCTTACACAACCTTTGGTCTCTGATGGGGCACAGTTAGGGTGGTTTGGATGAAGATGCATGTTAGCATTAAGGGAGGAAGGCAGGTGGCCTCAGCTTGATCTGTGCTGTTGGCATCGCAGTGGTGGTAAGAGCAAGGGCTATGAGGAGTCATGACAGCTAGCATTCCTGGGGCTTCCGCTCACCCGCCCTCCCTCATCTCTTCCAGCCTCTGAGAACGATTTGTTTAACAAACGCCTGAAGCTCGATTATGAAGAAATCACTCCTTGTCTTAAAGAAGTAACTATGGTGTGGGAAAAGATGCTTAGTACTCCAGGAAGATCCAAAATTAAGTTTGACATGGAAAAAATGCACTCAGCTGTTGGGCAAGGTAAGTGTTTAAAGTCCTTGTCTAGCCAGCCACACCCACTGTGACGACTAATAGGGTGGAGTAAAGACATTTGCAAGTCTAATTTTGTGGCAGTCTTGCTTTTCATCTTGTTTCCAGATGTCAGTCTAATTGATTGATGTGGGTTCCCGGCACCTTTTGTGATGATCTCAGTTACATTAATGAAAATGCCCGGAAAACTAGGGACCAGTATGTCGATGGGAAAACCCAAGGCTTAGTTGCCTGTGAGTTGGATAAGTGATATGATAAATTAAATAGGAAACTAAAAAGAAACTGTGTGCGGTTTCTTGCTGGTTGGGTATCCTAGGGAAACAGCAGAGTGTTCAGCTCACCTTCTAGGCAGGGGATCTGTCTGGATTTTGGCCCCATCCAGATAAGCACTTTGTAATGTAATCTTAAGCAAAGACTTGGCCTCTCCGAGGAAGCCCCACTTGGTTTTAATTATGTGAGCCTGTGCATGTGAGCGCCCACAGACATCAGAGGCACAGTTATGAGTGGTTGTCACTTACCTGATAGGGACCTCAAACTCAGGGCCTCTGCGAGAGCAGTAAATGCTGCTAACTGCTGAGCCTTAGTTTGTACATATGTAGGATGTGGATGGCAATGGTGGTCATGAAGAATAAATAAATGAACTGAAACCCTAGAACATGGCACTTGAGTCTGCTGTCCTAGGTGGCTTGGGATGGGTACCTTTCGCTGCTGTCTGCCAGTCTGAATTTACTTTGTCCCTGAAGAGGAGAGACAGAACTTGAGATGACGTCTGGAAATGTTTCTAGCAATTTGTCACAGTAATTCTCAAAAAAAAAAAAAAAAAAAAAAAGTGAGCCTGTACTTTGTCATTCCATTTCTGTTGTTTGTTTGGTTTGTTTTTGTTGTTGTTTTGTTAACAATTTAACAACTTGGTTGACATACTAAGTACCAGGTTTTGCCTTTTTCATGAATTTGCATCATTTACCTTATTCTAAATTGTCCCCCCCCCCCCCCCCCCCCCCGCCAGTTTCCCTCCCTCGGCCCCCTGCTTCTCTCTGGTTTTGTTTTGCTCTGATTCATTCTCACTATATATTTTCAAGAAAACAATAATGATTTCTCTTGAAGTCTGTGTGAGTGGGCACCTTCTGAGAGTAATCTGCACTTAGTGCTACTGAGCTCTGCTCCACCTTGTTCTGAATATCCAGTATCTGAACGAAGGCTGCAAGCATGCATACATCTCAGGGTTTCTGGTGGCTGTAACCGCTGTAGGAAGCAGACCATCTGTGTTACTCATTGCTAAGAGGGCTAAGAACTAAGCAGCTTTTCTATCATGGTCTTTCTTTTAATAAAGGGGTTTTTAAAATTTTTTTTATGTATGTGGGTGTTTTGCCTACATGTATGTCTATATATCAAGTGCATGTTTGTTATCCAACAAGGTCAGCAAAGGGTGTCAGATCCTCTGGAACTGGAGTTATAGACACAGTTGTGAGGTACCATATCAGTACTGGGAATCAAACCAGGTCCTCTGAAAGAATAGCCAGTGTCTTCAGCCACTGACTGAGCTGTCACTCCATCCCTTTTAGACATTCTTAAAAATCTTTTACTGTACTGCAGAGATAACTCAGTGGATAAAACTCTTTGTGGACAAGTGTGAGGACTAGAGTTCACATCCCCAGAAACCATGTAAAACTTAGAAGTTCAGCACTCAAGGGACAGAGACAAGGAGAATTCGTTAGGCAGGCTGGCTAGCTAGACCAAGACCCCCAGGCTCAATGAGAGCCTCTGACTCCAAAAATAAAATGGAGAGCAACTGAGGAAGACACTTGGTGTCAACTTTTGCCATTAGGTGCACATTTGTGCACCACCCTCACCCCACCATTCCCACAACCCCACACATTGAACAAACTCATGCAAATAAATAAGTAAATAAGTAAATAAACAAATCCTTTTATTGAGCTTTGACAGCGTATGTCTTAGTACTCAGGTATAGTTATTGCTAGTTTTGACCTTCCTGCGGATACTTGAGTGACAGTGGCCTTGGCCCTCAGCTTGCAGGAGTCCCCATCACCATGCCAAGCTGCCTGTGGTTGAGCCATCCCCAGAGTGCTGCGCTCAGGCCCCAGGTATGTGGAGGACAGTGCTGGAGGCATGCCCTGCACCGCCTCCACTGTAACCCTGGGTAGATGTGTTCACCTTTCTGCTTTTCTGCCTCCTGGCTGGCAGCAGGGGAAGCCTGGCCCAAGCCTGGCTCTTACACTGTCCTGTAGGCTGATGGATTTTGTACCCATTGTGTCTGTCACAGTGTGACCTTCATGATGAGTGGTTGCCAGTCAGCTGCTTTGAAAAGTTAAAAAAGCAGAGATGCATGCATGCACCTGCCTCTCCCTCCTCACAGTTAGCTAGGCGATTCTCTGAAGTGGTACCTCAGAAGTAATTGCACACCCTCTGGTGGCTCCTCCAAATGTTTGAGCTTCTCAAAGGCCTGGCACCTGGGCGTTTATTTCCTATCCCATGTGGTGAGGGGATGAGCTGAAGGCATCTGGACCCAGTGGGGTGGAGTTGGGCAGGGCTGTGGGAAGACGTCATAGACTGCAGTAAGCCAGGGCTGATCTAGAATTCCCTTTGACTTCTCTGACTTGGTCATCCCTGAAGGAATGTAAACGAAGACTCCTCCATCATCCAGTTTCAACACTCTAAACTTAGCAATTTCAAACAAACGGCCACTGCTCACCCACACCTTAGACTTTTTAAATAATACTAAACCAAAAACCATGACTTTGACCTTACAAGCAGAGACTAAGTCACCTCTGAGACTGAAACAGAGGGCAGTCCTTGTGTAACTGAAGAGGCTTTTCCTCCCATTAGGGACTTGGAAGCTTTTCCAGCTTAACGTGAGATGGGAGTAGCAGGATTAAGGAGTCAACTTGGGAAAAGAAAGAATTCTGCAGAATATTACGTAACGCAAAGTTTGATGTGCATCAGATGATTTCTTGAAAGATAGAATCCTAGAAGCCAGTAGCTGTTTCTCTCGGGGTGTTATTATGGAGTGTCCACTAAGCAATCAGCAGAATGGTTCAAATACAAACTCCTCTTTCCTTCAACCCGGCAATGCTATTCCCAGAAGCTAGAAATTAATCAGCCACAGACCGCTGCAATAAGAATGCTTATTATGATATTTTTTTAGTAGCTGAAACCAAAACAAAGGGACCCAGCCATCCCGTGCACACTCCTGGAAAACAGCACAGTGGGTGTTTCCATGTGAGAGAAATGCGGTACCCATGGTACTCACAGTTGGTATCTCTACGTAGAGACACTCTCACAAATGCATTTCAGATGTCCAGGTTAGAGGTGGGTGGATGTGCCGGCTCCCTGGGCCACTTGGCACAGCCCCACTCTTGTCCTAATAAACCAGCGGCAGGGCTTCTCCTACACGCTTTCTGAAGCTTTCTCTTTTTGATAGCTGTAAGTGGATGTCCGCTCTGGTCATGGGTGGAGGCTTGCTTTTCGTCTTTACTCTCTTTGCATTGTCAGAGTTCTTCCCGTTACAGCGGTAAGCATATATTACTCTTCACACATGAGCTGGGTGAACGGTCTCTGCCTTAGCCAGTATTCCTCGCCTGCCTGCCTTCCATGACAAGGTTTCCTCTTGAGTTAGGAGTAAAGCAAAACCGAGCATGGGGGATGGTGTCTGGGACAGTCCGAGCAAAAAGCACTGGGTCTGACTGCATGAGTTCTTGCTTTCAGCCTCAGACTCCACTAACCCTGCAACATGAGAGTGTCTGGTACTCTCTGGTAACATGGCCAGATTTCTTTTCCTCCCCACAATCAATCCTGATAAGATAAGGGGAAAGACTTAGTAATAAGAGGAAACTGGACATCTCCTAACTTGGGAAGAATTTCCAGTCTGACAGAAAGTATTTGGTGAAAAAGCCCCTCTATAAATCACTCATCGTGCTGACCGTGATCTGGTTCAATGTTTGCTTTTAGTCAGAGTTTGAGGTATTACTGATTTGCTCTGTGTGTGTGCGCCCCAGTGTATGCCTGTGTGTGCATCTAAGATAGGTCTGAGGAATGGTAAGGAAGGAGAAAAGAAATAGATTGATGTAAGAAGGCAGCTGTTAGGATATGTTCGTTTCCTGTTGCTGGTGTAGCCATAATTACAGATTTGGTAACTAAAACAATACAAGTTAGTCAGTGAGAGTGTGCAGTGGGTACATATTTGTGTGCAGGCCTGATGAACTGAGTTCAGTCTCTGGATTCCTCAGAGTAGAAGCAGAGAACCAGCTCTTGAGAATTGTCTTCTGACTGCCACACAAGCATGGTGGCACACATGTGCCCCACCCACCCACACATACACAAAGGTTTTCTTTAAGATAAGTTTCAAGACCTACACAAGTTCAAGTTACACAAAATTCCAGTATTGAGAGGGGGAAGTGGACATGAAATCCCATGTACTGATAGCTACTGGCACACAGAAACTCTGTTTTCTTCAATGGTATGTCAATCAAATTCCAGGGCAAGGCTCCATGTTCCGAAGTAATTGACCAGCCAACACAGACTCCGTAGGTTCAGAGAGTTTTTTTGTGTGCTTTTTGTTTGATTGACCAGCCAACACAACATAGACTCTGTAGGTTCAGAGAGGGTTTTTTTTTTTTTTTTTTTTTTTTTGTGTGTGTGTGTGTGTGTGTGTTTGTGTTTTTGTTTGTTTTGGATTGGTATTTTTTAATCTTTTTTTTTTTTCTTGTTTTATTTCAGGGGAGTATTTTACTTTGAAAGACAAAGAACATTTAGGGAGGCAAGGAGGTTCTGAGACCAGTTGGAAGGGAAGAATATGGAAATACAGTGCATAAAACACACACACACACACACACACACACACACACACACACTTTTTTTCCTCTCATGGCTCTGAAGTCCCAAGTCCAAGTGTCAGCTCCACTGCACCTGGCTTTTCCAGCTTCTGCCGGCGGTATCATTTCTTGACACAGGCTTCCTCTTCTGCTTCCATGGGCACACTGCCTCCTCTTTTCAACTCCTTTTCTGGGTGCTGTTGTCAAGGATCCTTATCTCAAGATACAGACTTCAGGTTATAATCATGATGATGACATCTTAAGCCCTAGCTTTAGCTACATCTGCAGAAACAAGGCCAGTAGAGGATCCCGAGGTTGGGGAATGGGTGTATCCTTTCAGAAGCCCACACTGCTCACAGTCAGTCAAGTTAATGCTGAGGTAAACACAGAATGCATGGGGCGCAGTCACTTAGCTGGGCCTTCCTTACATGTCTCCCAGGTTGATACACTGGGAAACCAACAACTGTCCAGGGTACAGTTGACCCACTCAAGATAACTTCCTTGTGGTCGGTTCTCTTCCCTTTCCCTTCATCTTTAGGGTTCCGCTTACATGAAGGGGGCTGTGGGATCTTGGTTGCTGAGAGACAAAGAGCCAGCTCTCTGTCACCTGAGCTCTATCTTGCTTTGATTGTTTTCCTTTTCTGAGACATTTGTATCCTTCTTTCATTTCCTTAGAGCATTGCTAAGTTGGCTTTAGATTGGGTGGGGTCAGGATCCCTAACAATGTATCCACAGCTTTGCAGCATTTAACCTGCTTAGATTGTGATGCATCTTTAGAAAGGTGACCTAAGAGGGACTCAGCCAAGGGGAGGGAAGAGTGAGGTGTGGGAGGGATGGAGGAGGGAAATGGAACACGTTTTCTGTTCCTTCCTGTGCAGTTAATTCATTAGTGGAACAAGAACTTCATTAGGTGGAGACGAGGGGATGGCACAGTCAGTAAACTGTTGCCTCAAAAGCATGACGACCTCAGCTCATTTCCCAGAACCCATGTTTCAAAAGCTAGAAGTGACAAGGCATGCTTGTAATCCCATTGCTAGTAATCCCCATGCAAGAGAGGCAGAGGTAGGCAGATACCTGGAGCTCACTGGCCTGTCTAGCCCACTTGGGGAATGTGGCCCAGTGAGTGACCATGTCTCTAAGTGAAGGGGACGGTTACCTGAGGGACAGCACCCAAGGTTTTCTTCTGGCCTCCATGTGCATGTGCACCCATCTCACATGGCCCTGCACACATGTACACACACACATGGATAATCTGCAGCAATGGAAAAGGACACTATTCTGTGCATAAAGTCTGGTTTAACATTTTCTGCTCTGTTAAAGGTGTGCCACGTCATCACCGGGGTGAGATCTGGAAATTTCTAGCTGAGCAGTTCCTCCTTAAACATCCCTTTCCCAGTAAACAGCAACCAAAGGATGTCCCCTACAAAGAACTCTTGAAGAAACTGACCTCCCAGCAGCACGCCATCCTCATCGACCTTGGTGAGTCTGTGTATCCACACTTGAGAAATATGGTCATTCAGTGATCTGCCCTTGGGGTTAGCAGTCGCAAATGAGTGCCATGACTTTCCATTTCAAAGCCCTACAGCGGTCACAGATGCCCTCTGAGAGGGCATGAGCATCTCCCTCTCAGCATGGTGGCTGGCTTGTTCTGCTCGGCATGTTGTAGGGTGTGGGGAATTGTACATGGTCATGAAGGATGTTGAGACATAATGATGGTTTATTCAGTAATTCGTATTTCCAAGGGATGATTTACAGGCCACTGAAGGAGCATCCTGGGAAACACACTGGCTTGGTTTAATTTTAGAAGCATTCTCCGGACTGTGGTGTACAAACAGAACTTGTCAGAAAAGTTGTAGAAAGCTGTCTGTTCACAGTTTCATCTTGGAAAGTGAGCAATGCCCTATTTCTGGAATAGCTGTTAAAATGCAGAATGGCAGCAACAGAGTGTTGGATGTCTTTGCAGTTGCCATGGGGAAGACCTCGCTGACTTAGAATGGACTTACATTGCACAGGACACCCTCTGCCTGTTGGTGGCTGGGTGGGTGCAGTCTCCTCCCGCTCACTGGGCCTGCCTCTGTGGCAGGGAGCTGGCTCCATGGCTGCAGCTCATGTGCTGCTGGTGGAGCATGCGGTCCTGCTTTCAGAATGCAGTTCCGGATGCTGAGTCCGTCCCCCGGGTCTCCAGATGCTGAGTCCATCCCCCAGGTCTCCTGTCTGTGCTCAGGTCACTGCAGTGGCCCCGTTCCATAGCAGTTTTCAGGCTGCTCTGTAGACCTGGCTTTAAATGTCATCTTTCACAGCATTGCACATAGATGAGTGTACGGGGAGGCTGTACAACCTGTTCAAGATTTCATACATAACTTGCTGATAAGCAATATGAAATTAGAACTGTGTTTGTTTCTCTTATCCCCTAGTTCTCCTGGGCGGGATGCAGCCTCCATGGGCTGCATTATAGTATACTCTCAACTCCAAGGACAGTGCCGACACATAATAGGTACTTATTGTACCTTTCTGCCTGTCAGTTGTGAGGCACTCACACACACCTTCCACAGTCTCCCTGGGAAGCTGACCCTGTATCCTAAGACACGGGGAAGCTGTGACGCTGAGCAGTCATGTCACATGGTCATCAGAGCAGAGGTGCTGGATCTACCCACTGTCGTTCACCATCCCTAAGACTCCCAAGCCCAGCAGGCTCCATGTTATGACGGAGATGCTAAGCAGGTGAAGGGTGGTGCTGACGGGTATGGCAGGCCTCCACCCAAAGCCCATTTGGTCTGGTGACCCTGAGGATGGATGGCTGTTTGTACATTGGCAGCTAAGTAACAGAAACAGTGACATCATGTCCTGTCATGTGAAGTGACCTGAAAACCAAAGTCGGGGTAGAACTGTGGTGGGGGTGTGTGGCTGCCTCCTTCCTCCTCTCTCCCTCCCTCCCTCCCTCCCTCCCTCCCTCCCTCCCTCCCTCCCTCCCTCCCTCCCTCCTTCCCTCCCTCCCTTCCTTCCGCACTCCTCCATAGCTTGGGAGAGGGAGAGGAAATGGGGAGACATTTCCCTCCTGTTTTGCACTTTGTCCTGTTGAATTCCTGTCTGCATTGCCCTTACCCTTCCCAGGCACGGTCAGCCCTCTGCCTCAGACTGCTTGAGTGTCATCACTTTTCTGCAGAATGAGAGTGAAGCCCAGATTGGCCACACGCCCCACCCCCACCCCACCAGCCAGGCCTGTCCCTAGGAAGTGGTGTTTGTGTGAGCCCCAGCTCAGTGGCCTCTCCCCTAGAGAAGAAGGCCTGATTCACATCCTCCCGCCCCTGCTCAGCCCCACCCTCTGGCTTCTGCTCCCAGGGCCAGCTGCACCCAGCCCCCACTGCGTTGGCCCTTCCCTTTCCCCACCTCTGGGCTAGTGCTCCCTGGTCTCCACTCTGGATGACCTCCAGACATCCTCCCAAGAAGTCTATTTACAGTAATCCACGTCCCAAGTTACTTCCACCAGGCTTCTAGGACTTATCCAGGGACCCTGCCAGCATTAGCTCTGGTCCCTGTGTGATCCAGAAACCCTGGTTGCTGTCCCAGGCCCAGCAGTGGCATCTGGGTGCCCATCTGCAAGGGCCCAGCTCTGCTCTGACTTGACATAAAGGAGGCCTCCAGCTCTGGCCAGGCCTCACCCCACACCGCCAGCCTCTGTTTAGTCCACACTGTGTATTTTGTCTATTCTGTGTGTTTTGTATATACAGTGGCAGACTCTGGACCCAGTAAAGATGGGCGTTGTAGAGTGACATCACATTCCATTTCTTTCAAAGTGGCTTTCCTATAGTGGCTGGAAGAAAAAGCACCATTGAAGGGAAGAATTATGGCTTTTTGTGGGTTTGTTTTCCTGTCTCTTGCTTTATCTTATGAAACTGGCCTTTTGCTTAAGCAGCTTTTTTTTTTTTTTTTTTTTCAAGATTTGTTCCTTCAAAGAGTGAAAATAGTTGGTCGTGTTCTCTAGTTTATAAAATGTGATTTCAGGTGTGGTCTGACTTCATGGTTAGCCAGCCCTGTGTGGACAGTGCAGTTGCCTACTCTGGGAATGATACACGAAGCCCAAGAGCTGGAGGAAGTGCTTCGCCAGGCTCCATGTGGCGCCTTAGTCTTTGCACCTCATGGCCTGTCTTCCTGCCTCTGCTGACTGCATCCTCTCATGTTGCCCCTGCCTTTTCCTTCAGCACAGACCACAGCCAGCCGGGAGAAAGCTGCTGCCAGGGTTAGCAGGTGCCACGTGTCCTCACGCAGGCCTGACCCCCTGAAGACTGCAGCCTTTCTCCTCCTGGCTCTGTGGCTCTCCATCCTGGGTAGATGGCATGGAGTGCCAACGCCCTGCCTTCTGTCTCCAACTCCTGCACACTTCTGACTCTTGCTGCGGGTCCCGACATCCTCCTTGGCACCCATCCTAGCTTGCCAGCAGCTGTCAGTGTCTACTGGGTGACTCTGCAGCCGCTCCTGTGATGGGAAGGACTTGGTAGGAAGAACACAATCCACTCCAGAGACACAGAAAGACCATTGTGTCACAGCAGGAGTTGGACCTGCCTCTCCCCTCTCTATCAGCTCCTGGTAGCCTTGTTATTGTGGGTTGTTGCCATGTGGAGTCATGCACCGTGCAGACTCTGAGGGTCCCGTGAGTCTGTCAATGTGCTGCAATAACTTTGCTGTTCTCTTCCTGAGTCAGGATCTCACTATGTGGTCCAAGCCCAAAGTTCCCCTTCCCGCATCCCCATTGTGTCAATTACAGGTGTGCCACCGTTTCTGGTCTCAGAAATGTTGTTGACGGGTTTCTTAGGGATGCTTCCCCCGGGAACGTGAGGTGCGCCAGGGTGGCCTGAGCTGGCAGAGAGGCAGAACACATGCCCAGAAGAGTCACTCAGGCGCAGGGTTGGGCTAGGTACTGTCAAGGTTCTCTTTCCACTTAATGTGTTTTAACCAGAGGCTTCAAACCTGAGAAAGGATTTTCTTTGTTGTTGTTTTTTTTTTTTTTGTTTTGTTTTGTTTTTGTTGTTGTTGTTGTTGTTTTTAGAATTCATGAAAGATGAGTGGGCCTTCATTACTGAAGGTTATAGCAAAAACTTTGATGGCAAAAGACAAAGACATAGGTTTTGACATGTAGCCACACTAGCCTACCTGTCCAGTACGAGAAAGGCCTCTGTGGAAGTCGTTAAACATCACAGTTCCAGAGTCTAATAGATTCCTGCACCAACAGTGCCTTGAATTATTGGCAGATTGTGTGTGTGTGTGTGTGTGTGCTTCTGGTATTATCAAGGTTTCAGCATGAACTGACTTTGTTTGGTCATTCTAAACATGCCCTGTGTGACAGTGTCAGTTGTCACCTTGACAAGAATCTGCAATCACCTGGGAGACAGCCTTGGGGCATGCCTGGGGTGGGGGACTGTCTGTCTGTCTGTCTGTCTACATTGTGAGCGAGGACTCTCCCTGGGCAGGGGATCCCTGTGAAAAGCAGGAGACAGCTAAACGCCAGCACACATGCACTCACGCTTGTTTCTGACTCGTTTGGACATAATGTGACCAGCTCCTTCCAGCACCTGTTGCCTTGATTTCCCTCAAGTGTGAATCAAATCCTCTCTCTCAAGTAGCTTTTGTCAGGGTATTTTATCACAGCAACAGCAAAAGAAACGAAGACAGCCCGTGCCTTCACAGTGGTGAAGCGAAGTGTGAGCAACAGAGTGAGTAAAGTTGTAAGAGTATGGTCACCTTACTCATTACATAAAGTAGAGAGCCACTTCCTTCCTGCACGCTCCTCGTCAGTCAGTGCTCTGCCAGCACCCGCTCCCAACACCTCAGCAGACCTCTGCTGTTTAGTTCCCAGTGTCAAGACTGCCACCCTGAAGCCCTAGGTGCTCGTGTGCAGAGCCCCTCCCCCCCAGGAGCTAGCCCCAGCAGTTGTGCTCACTGGGATGCTTCTAGAAACGTAGGCACTGAGGATGGCCCCCTAGAAGTGCCACACCCTGTAGGGAGCACATTTGACTGGGGGAGGGACACACACATAGAGCCCAAATCTGGTGTCTTGCTCTGTCACTTTCTACCTTGTGCCTTTGACATGGGGGTCTCTCTCCGAACCTGGTGCTAAGCTGGTGGCCAGCAAGCCCAGCAACCCTCCGGTCTCACCCACCCACAGTGCTGGCATTAAAGACATGCTCCTGGCCACCTCCAGCTTCTTACGTGGATTCTGGGGGTTTGAGCTCTGTTTTCTGTGTTCGTGCAGCAAATGCTCTTACCCACTGAGCCATCTATCTCTCCACCCCACAGGAGTTCCTTTGTACCCATTTGACAGTTTACATTCAATAATCTCTTTGTCTGTGAAGGTAGCCTATGTCTCCTTTAGCAGAGATTGGAAGTCCATTCTCCTTGCAGTAGCCTGCCTTCCCCTCTTTTCTGGATTTGCATCCAAGAAGGTGGCTAAGCTGTGTTTGCCTGGAACAAGTGTTGCCTAACTTGGGAGGTCGGATCCCTTTCTCTTTTAAAATAGAGTAGTCCAAAGAACTTGGGCTTATATGGAAAATGTGGTGTTAGTATTTAGTACGTTGGAAATTAAAATTGACAAAGTTAAAAATACTTATTTTTATTTTAAAATAACTACAACAAACTCACCATATGAATATGCAATGAAAAAAAACTATTTTCTGAAAGAAAATCAGTGATATGACATTGTATTACAGTTTTTGAAATCTCTTTCGTAGCTTATTTAATAGAGTCTTGGTTTAGTCTATTACAGTTATATTCTTTTAAATAAACAGAGGGATCTTTAGTGGAAAAGAGGGAGGTGGACCTCACAAACAGGCTGTACCTGAGAAGCATGGGGCTACAAGAATGGCGCAGAGTGATGGTGAGATGGCTCAGCCCTGCCTCCACATCTCACAGCCCCAGTTTTGTGCCAGCACTACAAGGTTGGAATCCAGAACTGACTCCTCCAAGTTGTAAGATGTGCATACCTTTGGCTCGCCTAAAGAATAAGTAAATAAGTAATTTTTTCCTGTGCTGGGAGGGACTGTGGGGCAGGGTGTGCCCAGTCTGCCTGGGAAGCAGTGACGGGGATGCTACCTGCCTCTGATTATCCCAGGAGGCAGGCGACGCTCTTGAGCTATTCAGTACAGAAGCCGAAAGTGGCTGTTGAGTCCTTGAAATGTGATAAGCCCAAGTGGGGGTGTGCTGTCATCAAAAGAGCCCACTGGACTTCAGTGGCATGAACAGAGAAAGCAAAATGCCTTGGTGTCTTTGTATTGGTTACATATTGAGTTGAAAACATTGTATGTGGTAAACAAAAACATCTTACTGGAATTAATTTCACCTGTATATGCAGGTGTTTGGATGTGCGGCCAGGTGTACCGTGGTGCATGCGTGGAGATCTGAGGACAACTTTGTCAAGTCAGTTGTCTGTTTCCACCCGTGCATGGGAATCCAGGCTGGCGTATGCATTGAGCCATCCTGTAGGCCCCGCCCGCAACTTTTTAATATGGCAGCTAGACGGTGTTAATTTCTCTTTATATCCTGCATCATAGCTGGAAGCTCCCGTTACTCAGAGCTTAATGAAAGTGCCTTGCCTATTCTGCTCATGCCCACACATTCAGTGCTGTACATAGTGAAGCAAGGGCTCAGAGGTTCCTGGAATCCTCACTCTTGGGCCTCACCCAGCCTAGAGGACAAATCTGGGAGTGGGAAATGAGCGTGCATCTCTGGATTAATGGAGGGGGAGTTTAGTGCTGCTGCATGCTTCTCCTTAGCAGTAGGCTGCCTGTGCAGAGTATTTGGGGAATGTGTTGGAGGAGGCGACGACAAAGCAAGAGCCTGTGACTGCACACAGGGTTCATCAACGTGCGCTAGATGGTTTGCAGGGAAGCCGAGGATCGGTCTGTGGGTGTATCCTCCGCCCTGATGATGCTGTCTGGTAACCATGGCTACCGGTTGCCGTGGCCCAGATGTGCTTGTTGCCTGTGTCCATACTGATCCCATGTACCTCTGTAACTTTTTAATGTGACACCTTCTAGTCACTTTCCTGTTCCTTAGAAACTCTGCTCATCTATCACCAGGATGCCACAAGGGGATTTGGCAGGTATCGGCAATAAAAGCCTCCTGAATGAAAAAAAGGCAAACAAACAAACAAAAAACTCTGCCACCTTTTAAACTTTTGTTTACGGTAGTTGTATTGATTGTGTCTGTGCACACATTTGTGCTGTAGCACACATGTTGATTAGAGGACAGCTTGTAGAAGTTAGTTTTCTTCTTCTACCATGTGGGTCCTGGAGATCTCACTCAGACTGTCAGCACGACAACAAGAACCACTGGACCAACCGGTGTGGTGGCGCGCGCCTTTAATCCCGCGCTAGGGAGGCAGAGACAGGTGGATCTCTGTGAGTTTGACGTCAGCCTAGTCTACAGAGCAAGTTCCAGGACAGCCAGAGCTGTTACACAGAGAAACCCTGTCTCGAACCCCCCCCCCATTAAAAAAAAAAGAAGAAAAAGACCCAGTGAGCCCTCTCGCTGGCCCATCTTTTTTGTTTTTATATTATCTATGTGGAAATAATCATGATTTTTAAAACCCATTTTTATCCCCTTTCCGGAAGGTCACTGTTTTGTATAAAGGAAAACAACGGCTATCCCTTGGCCTGTCTCAGATTTCAGCCTGTGATTTAAAAGTGTGGAAGAGTCCTGCGGTGAGACCCACTTGTGGGCAGAACTCATGGTCTAGAACAGCTTGTGGGAAGGATCTGTCACATTTTTTGAATGACATGGGCTAGGGCCACTTTCTAGAAAAGAAGTGAGGCTCCATTGTCAGAACCAGCGGCTCTCTTGCTTTTGATGGAAACAGATATAAACTGTTAAGGCTAATTATAACTTATTTTACCCATCACCACACACTGGGCATGGTGGCGCACACCTTTTATTCCAGCCCCTGGGAGGGAGAGGCCGGGCTGCCCTCTGAGAGTTAAAGGTCAGGTTGGTCTACACAGCAAGTTCCAGGCCAGCCAAAGCTACAAACTGACACCCAGTCTCAAAAAACAAATATACTAAATACAACAAGAGAAGTTGGTAATTTGCTGGGGTTTTGTTGCTGACCCACCAGCTGACCACATTCAGAGCAGATACGGTTCTGAAGACACTGGTGTTGCGGCCTGAAGGTCTGGTTCACTCCACCTGCAGCATGCTGCCTCTGTGGTTCCGTGGGCCACTTGTATGCTCCACCTGACCTGTGTTCTTTCTCCAGGGCGCACCTTTCCAACGCATCCGTACTTCTCTGCCCAGCTCGGAGCAGGCCAGCTGTCACTTTACAACATCCTGAAGGCCTACTCGCTTCTGGACCAGGAAGTAGGATATTGCCAAGGTCTCAGCTTTGTGGCAGGCATTTTGCTTCTTCATATGAGTGAGGAAGAGGCATTCAAGATGCTCAAGTTCCTGATGTTTGACATGGGGCTGCGGAAACAGTATCGGCCAGACATGATTATTTTACAGGTACCCAGCATCCCCGTGATGCAAATGAAACGATGCCAAAGGTGTGCATCATTCCTCTTTGGGCAGATCTGGCTGGGTTCTTCTCCACTGATGCTGCTGATGCTAACTCTGTATTAGGCATCGGTTTGTGTGCTTCCCGGGATAGCTCTCAGGATGATGCTATTCATTGGCTCAGTTGTAGACAGGAATATGAAGGTGGTCCATGGCACACAGTTAGTCAGTGGCAGAGGTGGAGTATAAATCCAGGCTTGTCTGGCTCCAGGACCTCATCCCCTGTCCCTTCCCTTAGCTTCTTAGCAAAGAATGTTACCCGTGCCTCCAAAGCCCGTGATCTGCTGTCCTCTCTCCATCCCCACCCCTGTCATCCAGGGTTCAGCTTCACTGTCATGTAGATATGGAGTGGGAAATAAGATTCACTAGGATTTAGTATAAGTTCAATAGGGATTATTTGGGGAAATTCTCTTACACATGAAACAAATGACCGCCATGGGTTCCCGCTCCAAGAATGCCACCCAGATGCTCTCCACAACCCCACTAGGAAGTGACAGAGCGAGCTGTGGCCCGGGACCCCAGACCTAGCCTCTCCACAGGTCATGTCAACACCTATGCTCACTCCACAGTGGGCGTGGTCAGTACAACAGGTGTGGGTGGGGAAAATATTTCCCTACATGTGCTGTATCACAGCAGCTCTTCCTGCCTGTGCTGACTCGGGTCCTGTCACCCTAGACACACCATTTCATGCTACCTTGTCTCATATCATGCCTTCAGGACAACACATTTCCTGCCATAAATCGACCTAGTTATTTACTTCCTAGCATCTCATGTCCTGATTTCCTTAGTGAAAGGAGGAGATTGTGTTGAGTTGTGGCGTAGTTTCCAGCAGTGGCTGGAATGGAATGGAGTATCTGGTGATTGAACAAGTTTACCCAAGGAAAACCAAGCTGGGCTCGGTGATGGAAGCCCTACTTTTAGGAGGCCAAGGCAGGAGAATCCAAAGTTGTTGGCTGTCCTAGCTCATATAAATGAGTTTGGTCTGAGCTACACAGTGAGGCCCTGTCTCAAAAACAAACAGAGTCTGTGGATGTAGCTTGGTAGTTGAGTGTTTTCCTAACCTGTTGTAAAGTCCTGGGTTTTAGCCCCAGCTTCCAGGCAGGGAGGAGGAGAGGGAAGGAGAGAAACCAACACAGCAGTGTGTCTAGCTTGACAAGCACTATGCTTGCTGCTTTCCAGAGGTGAAGAATGCCCTGATCTGCGGGTGTCCCTAAGCATTGCTTCACTGTTGGGGACACGCTCACTCACTTGCGCATTCCCAGGAGGATTCCATAACTTAGGGGCTTCAGAATGTACCATTAGAGCTAAGGACTTGGCTTGAAAACACCATTGTGTGTTAATTGGGAGTCCATTTGGCTCTTGCTGTGAATGTGAGCCCTAGAGACATGAGCCTCACAAGGTGAGGCACCTGCTGTAAGAGCCTGTCCATGCCTCGGCAGGACTAGGCTTTTCTATTCAGAAGCCATGGTAGGTGCTGAAGAAAACTTATGGTCTAAGTTAGTTGTATTTCTGTCTTTCCACTTTCGGGTGTACAAATCCAACCCAGAGCATCGTATCAGATTCTGGCCTTCTCTGGGTTTTAGTCTTTATGCCCAGATGGGAGATAGATGCTCAAGGCTGCTTAAGGACCTGTGTGAACCACAGACTATGTGAAACCAGGGCAGCATTCTCTGAAGAAGTGACCTTTGATCCCAGAGTGGAAGGAACTTCAGCTGGAATTTTTTTTTTTTTTTAACCTCATCTTTAAGACAAACACTGCCTTAAGTTGCCCTGAATCTGTGTGGTTCTTTGTTATAAATGTGCAGAAATTGGTTTGATGGAGTAATTCTGGGAGTGCAGACCTTGGACTCACTCTCTGGAACCATGATGAAAGTGGATTTGGCTCACTGTTGTGTAGCAGGAGCTTTTTGATTCAAATTCCCCTTGGTTGGAGTTTTTCTGAGAATGTCTACCTGTAAGGGAGTTTTTGAGATGCTTTCATCGGCGGGCATTTAGGGTTTCCTAGCCAGGGGAGGCACAAGGGGACAATGAAGGGGGTAGAGGCGGACCCAGCAGCATCGCTCTGGCCTCTTCCCCTGACCTCATGTGAGCCTGTCCCTGGAAGCTCTGGTTGAACACATTAGTCAGTAAAGTCTGTGGATACCCTAAGCCAAGTAGAGCACAAACAGGGCTGAGTCCCCTCCCAGCCCGAGCTGAGTGAGTCCGTTTGTGTAGTATAGTTCCCAGCCCCTGTGGATGTGTGTTCCTGCAGATCCAGATGTACCAGCTGTCACGGCTCCTCCATGACTACCACAGAGACCTCTACAACCACCTGGAAGAGCACGAGATTGGCCCCAGCCTCTACGCAGCTCCCTGGTTTCTCACCGTGTTCGCCTCACAGTTCCCCCTCGGATTTGTAGCCAGGGTCTTTGGTGAGCTTCCTCCATGTGTCTGGCAACCGGCCTTCTCCTGCCAGCATTTATTGTCATCCTATGCTGGATTCCTTGGTTTTATAACTATCTAGTCAGGCTTGGTTGCCTAGGAGTCCTTACCGTGTGAGTGTAGGTCAGACCCTGCTCCCTCCTCACGGCCCCTCTATTAGTCACCTCTTCTATTTTTCAAGCTCATGTAATCTCATACGTTTAAAGATTTGGTTTTAGAACCAGAGAGTATATTTGTCCATGTGTCTTCCATTATCCCTCCTCACATTGTTTTGAGACAGTGCCCCTCATTGATTGGCCAGTAAGGCCCAGAGAATCTCCTGTCTCCCTCTCTCCAGAACTGGGACTATAGGCTTGTGCCATGGTAGCCTGTTTGTATGTGGGCACTAACTAGGATTCCACATGCTTTCATGGCAAGGGCCTGCCATCTCTTCAGCCCTTCAGGGAGCATCTTAAGGGACTGTCCAGAAGCACTGATTTGTACACTGGTTTACATAAACTTTGAATAGACATCTTGATTCTAAAAGTGCTAAAACTTGTTTTGTTTGTTTGTTTATTATGTATGTGTGTGTGTGTCTGTGTGCATATATATACCATGTGTGTGGGTGTCCAAGAGGCCAGAAGAGGGTTTCCTATCCTTTGGAACTGGAGTGACAGGTAGTATGAAGTGCCTAATGTGGGTGCTCAGAATTGAACTTGGGTCCTCTGGAAGAGCAATAAGCTCTCCCTACCACTGATCCATCTCCCCAGCCCTTAACCCTTGTCTTTGAGTCTGAGTGAGTGTTGGCTTCCTTTTCCCTCCACTCCCAGTAGGATGTTGGACTATTTATTACCTTTACTTCTTTCTGTCTGTCCACAAGAACATTTGAAGACTTTCCCTCTGTGACAGGAATATGTGTCCCTAAAATGCTCATTGTTCCTTTTTGCAAAACTCTCTCCCCAACCTGGTTTTTATTTTCTAGCTTTTGGGGGCAAAATAATCACTAAAGTAAGATTTCATGATATTTAGACTATGTGTAAAAGTAAAAGCCTCGAAACTGGGTGCTTGCTATACTGACAAGAGTTAGAGGATGTATTTGTAGCTGTGGGCTTCACTCTTTCTTGCCAGTAACTTCTGAGTTTTTGTTTCTTTTACCTTGGAAATAGGAGAAGAAGAAAATACCTCATCTTACTGACTTTCTCCCATAATTCTTTAGCTCTGTGGGTCATGTGAGGACTAGAACTGAGCAGGGGGCAGGGAGGTCTGGTTGTTGACAGTCTGGAAACAGCTGAGAAGTTGAATTCCAGGGTTTGTGAGGAAAAACTCTGCCAAGAGAGGCTAAACTGAGCACAGACTAGGCTACAGGGGATGGATGAGTGAGGCAACCTTGCCCAGGCCAAACTGGAGCCGCCACCTGCAGAGAGAGAGTTCCTGGCTCCAGGAGAGCAATCTCAGGCTGTGTAAGCTGGTGAAGGACAGGAAAAACAAGCAGCCTCCTCCTTGGAGGGCCTTTCTGCTGCAGAATAATTTGGAGCTCTGTGCAGCACATTCCCGTGACTTAAATGCTAATAATAAAAGCTGAAGCTGGTTCAGGCAGGATGTTTTTCTCTGAAGGAGTGATGAGTCTTGAGGTTTTATATACAGTGTGCCTAAAGATGCCAATGTTTGCAAGATCGCTGACTCCCACAGCTCCTGCTGTAGGGGTGGGTTCCTGTCTGAGTCACCAGCTCCATATCCATAGTCCATTGAAGCTGTCAGTCCTCTGGAAAGGTAGTTTTCAAAGCCATTTGTAGCAGTGGTTACCAAACCTGCTTGTCGAGCTCTGTGCTAGTCAGTCGTTACATTGAATAGTCCTGCCCTTTAGGCTCTTGGACCTTTCTGGCCTAGGACCTTTTCCATGATAAGTCTTTAATATGGATAAACCTTAAAGCACATGAACCTCTGCTGATAATCCTCTATTTTATACATGAGTAGAATGAGCAAATCTCCAATTTGCAAGATCATCAAGATGACTCAGTAGCTAAGGTTTTCTGCCACCCGACCTGATGGCAAGAGTTCATTCAGTCCCCAGAGCCCACATAGAGGAAGGAGGAAACTGGCCCCTGCGAGTTGTTGCTGGCCTTCCCATGAGTAGTAGTGTGGCACACATACAAATACATTAAATAAAGAAATAAACAAATGTAAAAATATTCCCAGCTTGCACCAGCGTAGCTCCCATATTAATTATTAGGTCACCTCCAAAGAAGGACAGCCGCTTGAGAGGGCAGCTGCCATCTGTGTGCTTCACCTCGTGGTGCTTGTACTGGGCTAGATGTCAGTCTTCTGTCCTGGACCACAGTCCGTATAGTTCTCGTCTGAGTGGAGCAGGGACCTGGGAAGGAAGTCGTGCTCTCCTGAAGTCTTGCCGCTCCTGCAGAGGACCCAAGTCCAGCTCACAGCCACCTATAACTCTGGTCCAGTAGATTTGACGCCATCTTCTGGCCTTCACAGGCCCCTGTGCACGCAGGCACATAAATGTAATGTAAAACAAATCTGTTGTTAAAAAAAGAAAGGGAAGAAATGTTCTCTCTCCTCGCCTTCTGACCACATCTACCTTTGGGGTAAATAGGAGCTGGGGTAAATTTGAGTGGCAGGAGGCAGCTGCAGGGTTGGGCTCCTGGTGTCCTACAGAATGCCCTGCTGAGGAGATAAAGTAGAGCATAAAACTGAGGGCCCCACAGTTGTCCTGGGAACCATAGACTCTGCGAGCATCATAACACAGTAGCAACAGTGTGTTTTTGCGAAATGTGCCTGAGCGGTGATTGTCAGCATTTGTGATAGGAAGGTAGAGGCTACATGACCACAGGATTGCAGGCTCCTAGGAGAAAGTCAAGCGGAGGGTGGGGTTGCCCTGGAGAGTCGCAGTCATGTGGCTGGGAAGAGAGATTCCCAGTGAGGTCACCAAGGGTTGCACTGGCATGTCAGCTACTCTTCGTTGGCTCGCCTTGTTCTCTGTGGTTGACACTCGTCATTTCTTCGCACTTTGCACTTCATTGCAGCCAAGATTTCAGAGAGGGAGAGAGATTTGATATTGGTTGGCCCTGGTTGTATTTATATTTTTGTTTTCACTTTTTCTTTTGTTTTCTTTTTTAACTTTATTCCAGTCACCAGGTCAAACTTGCCTGAGTGGAGTCACCCAATAACCAGTCTTCGCTGTGTTTTTTAGCCCCAGGGCACCAATGTTCATTCTGTACTGGCTCCAATTGCAGGAGAAAGGGGGGACCTGGGGGCGGCTGCTCAGCCTGTTGCCTTGTCCACTTGCCTGCCTCGCCCTGCTATACAAATCAGCGTAGGGATTGCTGTGGTTTGCCAACCATGTGAGAAAACGCAACAGCAAGAGCTGTAGAGTAGCCTGACTGAACTTGAAGCTCCTCAGACAAGAGAATGGTTCTTGGCTCCATTATTATGATTAAGTTCAATGTGCTTTTGAAATGTGTAGGCCTGTTAAAAGCTTTAAGCATCTTTTCATTCCATCTTTTTATTTTAAAATGTAATTTCCTGACTACAAGAGTCTTTTAACTGAAAACATGTTTTAGTGGTTGGAGAGATGGGTCAGTGGTTGAAAGTTCTTGTTACGCAGCCATGAGGCCCACAGAAACAAGCTAGGTGTCCTATACATGCTTGTAACCCCAGCCCTGAGTGCGACCGAGACAGGAGGACCTCTCATGCTGGCTGTCAGCCCAGATGGGAAAACATGAGCCTTGGGTTCAGGGAGAGACACCCTTCCTCAGAGGGAATATGTAGGGAGTAGAGGAGGGCACTTGATACCTTTACTGCCCTCTATGAGTGCACATGGGTGTATATATGTGCTCACACCATATGTGTGCACACACCCATGCACACACACAAAAGCAGTTTTTTTTTTTAAAAAAAATGCTTTAGTAACTCCCTTAAAATATAGAGCATCTATGAAAAAAAAAATATCATAAACTAGTAAAACTTTTCTCAACTTTTAAAGTTCTCCTGAATTTAGGTTTTTTTTTTTTCCAGAGTTGAAAATTTTTTATCTGAATCTGTGACAAAACCCAAGCCATATATCTATCTGTTGTTTTTAGTTTTTGTTTGCAGTATTGTCTTGACAACTCTGTCGAAGATAACAAGTTTCTTCAAAAGGAAACAAATTGTATAACTTGGCTTAAACTTCCCACTCTTCTACTCTGTTGTGAGGAAGATAAAAAAAAGTGGTGTTTTGTCAGGAACTGACAGGGCTTAACTGCATTTCTGTGTCTTCTTAGATATGATCTTCCTTCAAGGGTCAGAGGTCATATTTAAAGTGGCTTTAAGTCTTTTGGGAAGCCATAAGCCCTTGATTCTGCAACATGAGAACCTGGAAACCATAGTGGACTTCATAAAGAACACACTACCCAACCTGGGCTTGGTGCAGATGGAGAAGACCATCAACCAGGTAGGGACTGCCGGATCTTCAGAATGCCGCCAGGGCCGGGCCAGGCTGGGCTGGAGCCGCTCCCTGAGGAGCAGTGGCCTGTGGAAGGCACATCACAGATACAAGTCAAAAGATGAGGTGTATGACTGCGTGCGTGTGCCGTGTGTGTTAATGGCAAAAGGCACCAGGAAGCCAGGTGTGATAACAAGGACAAGTGGTCTGTAGTTCATTACATGTAGGAAGCTTCCCTTCTTGTCTTGTGTTCTTCTGAAATGCATGCCTCTGCAAGGTACCGGGTTGTGATTCTTCCTCTCAGTAGTACTGACTGAAATGTTCAGAAAATGACGTTTCTGTAAGCAGTAGGAGATTGATTTCATGAATCTGCTCTGTGTCTTTCTTTTGTTGAGGGTCACCACTAGAAGAGTCCAGAGGGAGGCTGTGTGATCAGACTTCCCAACAGGAACAGAACCAATAGACTATACCATAATTATGAGTGGGGCTATTAAATTGCCTTGCATTTGGAGCCTAGGTGTTTTAATTGCCATCTACATACCTGTTCAGTTCCCAAAGCCAGAAGTCTTGGGAAACCCATGATGCAATCGTAGTCCTAGTCCTAACAGAAGGTCTGAGTTCCTCCTGGAGAATTGTGGGATGAGGGCGGCAGAAGGAACAAGAATCTGGTGTTTGTAGTGGGTGGCAGCAGCAGTGGCTACACTTGTGCAGGAGCAATAGAACTTAGCTTGCTTGCAGGCTGCTTGCCACCCTCTCCTCCCCCTCTTTGATAGGGTCTCACTGTGTAGCCCAGGCTGGCATCACCACAGAGGGCCACTTGCCTCTGTCTCCCGTGGGCTAGGATTAAAGACTTCCTCGGTTTGCTTTTGTGTGACTGGACCCCCGTCCTCTTGGATGGTGCTGCTCACATTTAGGACAAGTCTTCCTCCCTGAGTTGTTGTGACACACACCGGTCATCTCCAGAAGTGCCTGCACAGACACACCCAGAGCCTTGCTCTGCTAATCACCTGGCATTTCTCAATCCAGGCACATTAACAAACAAAACAAACCATCACACAGAATGTTCTGGAAGGGGTTTCATCATTGGATCACACTGCAGAGTCAGCAGTCTGCTTGCCTAAGCTTAGAACATGTTCTGTAGATAAAAATCTAGATAAGTCATTTAAACACAGATGGTGAATAAAGCTGCTTTTTTTTTTTTTTTTAAGTAAATACTTATGTAAGAACTTCTGATCATTCACCAGATGATAGCTCAGGACACTCAAGTGAATTGCAGCCAGATGCAGCCAATTTGGTTCTCATCCTGAAAAAGGAGCAAATCTGACCAAGGGTGAAGGCTCCCTGTTGCTTGTGACCTTGCATCTCTGCACACTGCACGTGCCGATGAGAAGGAGTTCTTGTCCACTCTGCACTTATCTTTGGCTAACTGGTTGGCTCCGGATCTTTCCTGCCTGGCCCAGTTGTGCAGTGTAGATTGCTTTGGTTTGCTGAGTCCATCCTTTCTGCCAGGTCTCACTGTATGTGCACATGACCTCAGGCAGTCGTGACCACATTCCTGAGGACAGAGTGGCTAACTAGCCGGCCCACACTCTGCTGCTGAGGGGAGAGGGGAGGTTTCAGATGCATCTCACTCACCTCAGAGTGAGCGCTTCAGCAGCTGCCCACACCACATACCTCGAGACTGTATCTTAGTAGAGGATAAACTCTTGATTCTCTTCATTACTGACGTTTGCACTAATTTGCTCTCTTCTTACAGTTTTTGTTGAATATACTTTAATGTCTCATGGCCTCTGAGGTAAACGCAGAGCCTTGGCTACCTAGATTGAGTCTGTTTGTCATGAGTGCTGACTTCTAGCTTTGTCCCAGCTCCAAGGCGGGTCATTTAATACAGCCCCGCCCCGGTAGACAGCCTCAGAAGAGGGGTATGGGGAGTAAGGGTGTTTTTTGTTTGTTTGTTCCTCCCCTTTTCTGTGAAGAACTATACTTACTGGCAGCATCGGGCACTCAAGATGCATCAGGTACCCTTTCAGTGTCGGAAGCTTGGGGTGTCCCAGCACAGGATGGACGGCAACAGTCTGTGCCTGTGTAGCCGAGTTGGTCCAGGCACCTGCTCTGAACTCGGTGTGCAGTGCTCCCCAGACTCCATAGCAGGTCTAGGCCATGGCAATCCAGTTTCCATTTTCAGGGAGATTAGGCAGGCCCAGCACCCCATATGCAATGGCAGGGCCTAAGTGGGGGAGACCACCGGATGCCCGGAATTGAGTCGTTGGAGCTGATATATTTTTGTTCCTCTGGGCCTATAAGAATGAGATGATTCTGGAGGGCCAGCATTTTGTGTGGAGGCTGGATGAGAGTGTTTTAGATTTTCACCTTTGAAGAGGCTCAGAAGGCCTCTCTGCTGCAGTTCTCCAGCTCTGCCTTTGTAGCAGGTAAAGGGATGAAGTATAAAGGCAGGCTGTAGTTTGCTGAGCCACATGCCAGAGGCACAGAGAGAGAACAGAAAGTAGTTAGTTCAGTGTTGTGGTGAGGTAACGAGGGTGTGGACCCCAGGTTTTCGTCCCAGGAACAGTCTTGATAGAAAGCGGGTACAGGCGGCCCTCCGCCCTCCTCCTCACTCGTGTTTCAGTGTGACCTCTGAGAACTCAAGCTTGCTGCCCCATCCCCTCGAGACCAGAGAGCAGGTGTGAGGCATGCAGCGTGGTTGCTCAGTGGCCAGAGGACTCCTAGCTGCGATGGACGTGACAGCATATAACCCTGGGTGTGGACAGGCTGTGCTGAAAGGGCGGTCCTCTCTGGCGGTGTTAGATGCTCTGTGTAGACTACTTGAGCAGCTGGGACCCAGCCGGACTCCCAAATGAATGTTGGGTACAGGTTTTAGAGCCCTGGCTTAGTGGGGTCATGCTGGGAACAGCGTCAGAGGCATCTCCAAGGTTGACTGTCCAGGGCAGAAGAGCTAGGGTCTGTGGAGCCACTCACCTTCCTCAGTGTGGCCGTGTGCTCGCTCGCCACAGTCGTCAGCTGCAGAAGGCCATATGCACCTCCTGATCTAGAACGAGGGTCCTCTGGGAGTTATCAGTACTAAAGGGTGCTGCTGGTTGAGAGTGTGGGTCATGTGACTGTGAGTACCCTGTGACTCTGAAGCCTTGATTCATGTCACAGCAGGAAAAGCTAAAGGGCTGCTTTGAGAGGCAGGCTGCAACCTCTGGCAGCCTGGTTTAGTGTTTGGACTGCAATCCCGGGCCAGCACTGTGGTCCTAGAGCAGCACTGTCCAATCATGTAAGGACTTGTTAGAAAGGTGGAATCTGGGGCCTACCCCAGGCCTGCTGACTCAGGAATCTGCAGGGTCATGGGCTCCACAAGACCTTGTGGAAGCTGTGCCATGAGCATCGTTTATTAATAGACGTTCCCAGTTGTACCTGGACTTGTGGCACAGAAACTACTCCGGTGGGGGAGCCGCTGCACCGGTTGAAATGACTGGTTTGTAAAAGGACAGGGTGGAGTGCCCTGGGGACAAATGTTTTACCACTGCCATATGCCGTGATGATTAACATCAAATGGACAGCTTTAGTGTTGTTTTTAAATGTACTATAGACAGTGCGCCCCCTTGTTGCAGATACCCAGGCACACTGCTTCGCTGTCCTGCCCTAATAGCCACTGAGACCAGCAGACTGGGGGAAGGGTCTGGAAGTTTGGAAAATCGAAAATATGTGATTAGTTCTGCAAGCCACCAGTCAGTACCTTCTTTATACCATGTTCAGAGACTGCAAAGAGAAACATCCAGTCTTCAATAGCAAATGAACCAAGAACATAAACATACAAGGAGAGCCATCTAGCAGACGTGTTTCTGGGGAAATATTTAGCTTCGTGTGTAAGTTTCTGCATAGCATACAATGCCTTGCCTGCTAGATTAACAAACCGACTGTTTAATACCAGTATGCAGTGCCAGGGACATGCAGCATCTGGCACATCAGCACTTGCTGGTGGCACTCTGTCTTGATTGTTCCCATGTGGGAAGTGGTTTGGCAATAAGCATCCCATGCCAATAAAATGATCAGACCCCTCTGGTGCCAGAGTCCCAACTATGGGAGTGTATCCTAAGGAATTGACCCAAAACATTGGGAAAGCCCTATGTATAAGGAAATTTTCTTAGAATTGTCACTTGCAATAACAAAAAATTGGAGGTGTCAAGATGTCCAACATTTACTGAGTAGGCTGATATGTTTGTGGCATGCTGAGTTGGTAAAGAACCATGCAGCCATTTGTGTTGGTGGTTATGGGGAGAATGGCACCACATGAGAAAGCACTTAGAACATAAAAGTGAGTGGGATAGGACATTCTATGTTAGCTTTGTTTACGATAGAAAAAGATGTGGTTGTGATAGTAAAGATGAAAGAAAGTATAAAGATGGTGGAATCTGCATTGGTAATTATTTACTTTCCATGCCTCCTGCATTGTAGTTTTCTTGATTCAGTAACAAAATTGATGGTGTGTCTTTCTGACAAAACACTGAAGATAAGGAAATGAATAATCCCTGCTTTGACAAACAGAAGAAAACACTCCATTCAGCACTAAAGTTCTGGAACGTCCCTGAAATTCGTAGAGAAACTAAGGGGTAGGCAGGGTAGTGGAAGGTGTGAGGTCCCCAGTGTGTAAAGCTCAAGTGGAACCCAAGATGACCCAGAAGAAAGATGACTACGGTTGGTCCTTGAACTTCGTGGAGTGAGCGTGCTCAGGGAAGGGTTATAGGAGGCTCAGTGGGGGAGATCTGTTTGTCATTTGTCTAAGAAGTGAGAAGTGACTCCCTTCCCAGTGCATGTTGATTTTTCCAGTGACACAGTGCCCAATATTCCTCTTTTCAGTTCTCTCTCTCTCTCTCTCTCTCTCTCTCTCTCTCTCTCTCTGTTAAGAACTGGCACCATCCGTCAGCCACTTGTATCTTCCAAGTGTGTAAGAATAAAAGGCTCTTCCCAAGAGTTGTACATGCTACTCAGGGGGCAGGGCTCTTGCACCCTCAGACAGGCTGTTGTGATTTGGACCATTCCTGGGACACAGTGGGTACAGCTGCAGTCACGGACTGTGTTCTGACCAGCCAGATGCTGCTGTAGTGCAACCGAGACCCTGGGGACCCAGGATAGTTTTCAGGGATTCATAGAGGCCCAGAAGGGGGTGTAGCCTGTGGTCAGTCCAGGTTCCCAGGATAGGAAATGACCTCTAAAAGTGATGTGTATGCTCTCCACACCACGTTAATGACTACACAGAGTGCCATAGCAGTCGCTGGGTTCACGGCCGTGGTTCTTGCCCTGCTCAGACTGCTCTAAAGCCCCACAGTGCGCATCCATGGTAGTTCTGCCCAGTATGAGAGGCTAAATCCAAAGGTTTCTAACAAGTGTGAAAGACAGACTCCAGTTAAGATGGGAGCTTTGCAGGCATGTGCTGGGAACTTTAGTGTTCAGTCTCTTCATTCCGAGTTCAGCGCAGGGAGGTATGTGTTACTGCCCCACATCGGAACTGAGGCCAGGAGACGTTGGATGAGTTGTTTAAAGTCATTCAGAGATTGCCAGTGGATTCCCAGTGTCAACGCTGACTCACAGCCTGGGCCAGTCACCAGGGATATGAGCTGGGATGGTGGTGGCCCCCACTGAACTTGCAGTCACTCTTGGGAACAAAAGGAAAAGCAGGTAGATGCAGATAGCACGGGGACGTGGTAGTTACAGAATGACTCGATTCTATTTAGCATTAACCCCGAGTTCACCTGAAAACTAGGAAGCTGAAATTTTCGTCTCATAGAGAAAATTAAGATGATTGAGAATGAGGAGAAAATGGAAGACAGCTCAGTGCTTATAAGGAACCCTCGGGGGAAACTGGCTTCCCAAGGCTTTGAGGGTGTTGTTTCACTAATTAGGAACTGTGGTAGAGTTGCTCCAACCCTTCCGACCCTTCAGAACCAAAAGTCTTGTTTGAGAAGGTTATCACTGCCAGATCCACTATGAGGGCTGTGATGCTTACTACTGACCATCAGCTTGACAAGATAGAATTTCCTAGGGGACAAACCTCAGGACTTGCCTGACTGAGTACGCAGACTAGTTAAACAAGGTGAGAGATTTACCCTAAATGTGGGCAGCGCCCTCCCAGGACCTGGGGTTCAGACTGAAAAGGAAGAAGGTAACTAGCTGTGACCAGCCACCCCGCCCATGATCCAGCCACCACGATGGACTCAGCACTCTTGAACTGAGCCAAAATAAACCTTTAGTTCTTTGTCGCTTTTGTTGAGCATTTTGTCACAGCGACAAGGAAAGTAACTGATACATACGGTCCTGTGCCGAGTGGCTTCACACGAAGGGGTGGCGCTGGGCAGCTCCACGTCTGCCTTCTGACGTCACTACAGCCCTGTCACCTCCCCATCTGGACAGAGTACAGGCACTGCCATTGAGCCACTCCTGCATTCGGGCTGTTTGTCACACGTGGCTCTGTCACCACTATTGCTGTTGTTGGACAGACGGCTCAGGCATTGTTCTGTGTTTGCTTACCCGTGGGGGTGACGATTGCGGTTGGCTCCTTTCTGCATATCTGTGTTAAAAGGACTTTCTCACAGTTCTGTTTGCCATTCTTGCAACTCTGAAAACCCAGCCAGATTGTAACTAAGCTTGAACTTGGTGACTGTGCAAACAGGACATGATTGTTTTATGTGTTTACTCATATATAAGGGTGGTGTGTGTGTGTGTGTGCGCGCGCGCGCGTGTGTGTGAGTGTATCTGTGAGTGTGTGTGTGTGAAAGTGTGAGTGTGTGGTCTGTGTGTGTGTCTGTGTGTGTGTGTGTGTGTGTGTGTGTGTGTGTGCGCGCGCGCGCGCACGCGCTACCTCAATGCCTGATACCTATGGAGTCCTGAAGAAGCTAAAGAAGGCATCAGATCCTGAGCTACCTAGTGGGTGCTAAAAATCAGACTGGAATCCTCTAGAAGAGCCGTCAATGCCTTAGCTGCTGAGCCTCCCTCTAGCCCCTTGAAAGTCTTTTAAAACCTTGGGGGGGGGCTTTTAGAATATAGTACCAGAATGTACACCAATTTTATCCTTTGGAATTGTTTCTAGACATTTGTTATTATCCTCCCTATGTAAAATGACCTTCTTGAAGCTAAATTTCCTTATCTGTTTGGGTTTTTTTTTTTTTTTTTTTTTTTGGTGGTGGTCATGGGGTTTTTGTTTGTTTCTTTCTTTTCTTTTCTTTTTCCTGAGATAGGGTTTCTGTGTGTAGCTTTGGAGACTGTCCTGGTACTAACTTTGTAGACCAGGCTGGCCTTGAACTCACAGAGATCCGCCTGCCTCTGCCTCCCAAGTGCTTGGATTAAAGGTGTTCGCCACCAACACCCAGCCCTAGATTTCCTTATCTTTCATGTGTATTACAATCATGCTGCTAAGCATGGAGGGATGATAGGTGCACATTGGCACAAGTGTATACAGGTACCTATGCATGTGGGAGCTTGTCTTAGTTTCGGAGCCTGGCGACTCTATTCTGTTATCTAACAGGTGTTTGAGATGGACATCGCCAAACAGCTGCAAGCCTATGAGGTTGAGTACCATGTGCTCCAAGAAGAACTTATCGATTCCTCTCCTCTCAGTGACAACCAAAGAATGGATAAATTGGAGAAAACCAACAGCAGCTTACGCAAACAGAACCTTGACCTCCTGGAACAATTGCAGGTAGAACATATTTGCAAATCAGCTTCCTGAGCCTCCGTGTCTGGTAGCTCATTAACTCACCAAAGCAGTAGCCGCCTGGACTTCCCCATGACCGTAGGACCTTTCCCACCCTGCGCTGTTTGTAGATGTGATCAGAGGTGTCCCAGGAGAATCAATCGGCCCTTTCACTGTGGAGCAGACAGACTGTCCTTGCTGAGGTCAGATAGTCCTGGAGCTTCTGGAGAGGCTTTTCTGCACTTAGCTTTGTAGGAGACCAGCGCAGAGACCATCTTGGTCCCGAATGCTGAATGCTGGCAATTGTGCTTTGAATAATGATGAGGCAGTCTTGAGCTTTCATCACCTAAGGGGGAGGAATAAGCTAGGTCCTTGGAGAGATATTAAAGGAGGGAAGTGACCAAAAATCTACCTAAAAGAATAAACCAGAACATATAAGTTATTTATAAGTCTGGTACAAATGCAAAGATTTGTTTACTGAGGGACACAGCTCTCCTCTCTAGAACCTTCTGTCTTAAGTGGGTAAATTCAAGTGAGAACTGCAGTATAAATAGTACACAAGGGCACACTGTGCACGTGCACATTTCCAGTGGCTTCAGCCAGCAGTGGATCCCTGGCATGGGCCTTGGAAGGCACATCTCCGCTGAGCTCACCTATGCATGTCGAAGCATTCCGCGTACAGCTAGTACACACTAAGTTCATTTCTTAGGCCATTGCCTATGTCCGTCTTTGGAGTTCTGGAAGCAGTTATACACTGCCCCTGTCTAAGGAGAGGGAACTGTGAAACACTGCTGAGAAACCCACATGCTGAAGAAAAGGTATCCATGGTAACTCGTGGGTGCTCACAGGTGTCTCCAGCATCCCCCTTCTCTGGACCAAGTGGTTCTAGAAGAGTCTTATCCAAGGTTGCAGGTTTTACTAGCCCACTGTAGTTACTGAGCCTATGCTGGGCTGGGCTGGGCTGGGTTTGCGGTGTTGTATAGTCAGGGCCCTGTGCTGGTTTAGTAGAGGTAGTTTCCCATGATCCTCTCTGGAAGTTTCCATATGCATCTCATGCTTTTTGTATAAGGAGATTTCAGTATGATCTTAAAGTAGATACTTTTTTTCCTTGAGTATCAAAATTTACCTGGTTTGTAGCTTGGTTTTGTTCATATAACTGATGGACAGACCAAAGTTCCGTTTATCTATTTTTTAAACATTTAAGAAAATGTGATCTGGCACTCTGGCACAGAAAGACAGTATACAGTGTTGCCTGCCCGTCCTCGTGCAGAGAAAGACCCCTGGAGTGAAAACCTGAAACAGATGACCTAAGGGTGCAGGGGGTGGAGGCGGGGGCGGCATGAAAGGGGAGGATGGGAGTAGTGAGGAGGGGGAAGATTGGGATGTGGGCATGACCGATAATAAAGCACAACATACGCTTGTATGCAATGTCACAGTGAAGCCCGTCAACACAGACACTTACTATGCATTGACAAGTATGGCTCTTAAAGTTTAGGTCACGAAGGCTACAGTGGATGTGGCTGCATAGGAAAATTGGACTGCCCTCCCTTGCTGTGAGCAAGTACTGCCCTTTCTGCAGCCTTAAGCAGAAAATCTCAAATGAATGGCATTGGCCTGCATGCCTGAAGGATGTATACAAGCTTGCAGGGGTCTGTACAGGAGGGGATGGCAGAGAGAATAAAGCAGTAACAGCACAGTGTGCACACTTGTGTTGGATTGTGCAGTAATTCAAAATACAGAACATTCACCTGCTGTTTTTGAGTGCGTTGAGCTATATGTTCATGATGTATTAAACTAGAAAAAGAAATTACTAAATAAATAGGAGGAGAAATCTAGAGAAGAGAAAAGGAGGAAAGAGGGATGTCAGGGGACAGACATACAGCCAGCCATGCAGTAACATGGAAAGAAGAAATAATCTTTCTACATGTAATTAAAGAGAAATGAGATCATTTGCGTTAGAAAAGTTGGATAGAAACAAGCCAAGCTAAGGCCAGGCAATCATAATTTGATACGGGGAGGAAAGAGAGAGAGAGAGAGAGAGAGAGAGATTAGTAAGCAGACTATGTGGTGTGCTTTTCTTTAAAAGTATGATGTCTGTGCGTTCTGTGAAAAAAAGAACATGAAAGCCTGCACACTAAAATATCAGTAGTAACTGTTGCTGTGAGGTAAATATCAAACAACTTGGGCTAGCTTTTCAGTGTTCAGCTGTCCCTTCATCAAGTGCCTTGGGTAAATAAACATTTAAAGGTTGAGTGTTCTGTTAATTACATGTGTTCATAGGTATTTTTAACTGTTGTAAGTAGCACAAGCTATTCAAGTATGTATAAATATATGTAAAGGAATAGTGATCATAGATTTTTGCCAGAAATTATTTCTGACATTTAATAGATTCTCAAACTGTAAATGCCAAATTTAGGTTAATGTATGTATATCATCTAAATTAGCAAACTAGAAATAGTATTTTTTTTTCAAAATGTGAAATGCTATTGCAGGTTTATTTGTAAAGTACTTGAGCTTATTCTAGAGTTTGCTCTGCCTACTAAACTTTAACGTTCACAGGTTAGCACACAGCTTGTGCATTTAAAGTAAACACACAGAGTAAAAATAGGTTGGCTCAAAAAACAAAAGAGCTGTCAGAAACAGGAGCTGGAACTCTTGAGCCTGCCATTCACTAGATGATTTTGTGTGCTGGGTCGGGGGCAAGTAGAAAGCCACAAAACCATTTCCTAATGATCAGCTGGCTACAAATAGTCCCCAGCTGAAGGGCCTGTGGGGACCAGACCTTGAGGGAGATCAGTCAGGCTTTCTTTAGGAGAGCCGCCATCCTTGCCATTGGCAAACCATTGTGAAAACTGTTCACTACTAAGCCGCACTGGAAGTGACTGCAAACTCAGTAGTACTGCCTGAACTACGTGGCCCTCAACAGAGCTGGGCCAGGCCCAGGTGTGGACAGTGGGTAGGATTTTAGGAACGTACCATCTAAGGCATTCCCATCCCCTCCCTGAACCTGATGAGTTGCACCTCCGAGCCTTTTTCTTGTTTGGTTTTCAGGATTTTAGTGATACAGCAGGAGCTAGACTTGGAATCACAAGTTTTCTGTCTAGCACAAGGGTTGTCTTGTTGAAAAAAAACCATTTCCCCAGATTTGCAAATGAAGTAGGGAAAGAGATGTGCTATTTCTCCCCCCCCCCAGGGGGCTGGACTGGACTGGTAAGGTAGGCCACCCCTAAGTGTCCAGAGCGAGTGCTGTAAATGCAGCTGGGCACTGAGGAGCAGGCTGAAAAGACCTGGAGTTGGTACTGTCAGGTGGCTGGCGCCTGCCTCCCCCAGGATGTCTGCCCTGGTGGACAGGAGATGGGAACTAGGGATGACAACGCATTCCCTGGCCTGGCACACGCTAAGGATGTGACCTAAGAAAATGCTCTGTCCCCAAGAGAGACCGGACTAGGGCTTATTTCTTAACAAGGTTGGTGGTGGCCAGTAGACAACATCTTCTCAGTTGAATGCTGCTGTTTCCGGCATTCTCTGTCTCAAGGACAATGCCTAATTTCCTATAGTGAGATCTCATTACTTCACAAAAAAAAAAAAAAGAAAGAAAGAAAAGAAAAAAGATGTGAGGTTAGAGAGTTGTCGCTAATGCAAGTGAACCATCATGTAGAAGCCACCGTCTGTGAATTTGAAATCAGTTTGTGCATGCAGACGCGTGGTTAGCTGGAATAGGCCATGCCGTGTACTTCCAGCTGGCCTATCACAGCCTCCCGTGTGTATTTGAGCCCTGCCCTTCTCCCGGGATAGAGATTGGGGGTCCAGTTCCCTCTCTCCTCTATGCTGCTTCCTCAATCCCTGGTCCCCAGCAGGGCTGCACCAGGGAAGGGGAAGCAGCAGAATGTGACAGTGTTTGGAAGGGCCGAGGCTGACTGCAGCGGAAGCTGGGGCAGTTATGCTGTGCCCCAAAGCCCCCGAGGCTGAGTGGTGGTGTTGGCTGGTGCCCCCTCTTGTGCAACCACAGGCAGGTATGTTCTCATTTCTCCGTCCACTCTCCAGGTGGCAAATGCCAGGATCCAAAGCCTTGAAGCCACAGTGGAGAAGCTTCTAACCAGCGAGAGCAAGCTGAAGCAGGCTGCGCTGACCCTGGAACTGGAGCGCTCCGCCCTGCTGCAGATGGTGGAGGACCTCCGAAGGCAGAGCGCCCAGCCCAGCACTCAGGAGCCAGACTGTGCCCTGCCCGAACCTACCGGTGACTGACAGCTTCCAGGAGAGGAGAGGCCTTAATCGGGAAAGATGGGAGCTGGAGGCAGAGAAGAGAGGACTCCTCAGGGAGGAGACTGGCCTGCCAGCCCACAGATACTTTTCGAGCTTAGGACTTGAAGTTGGAAGGGCAAAAGTCCCAGAGTTTTTGTTGTTTTCAGTTCAAATCCATCCCCTCTCCAGTCCTGGCTGTGGTAGCTTTAGCCAGCATGGATGTGAATAAATGTAGCTTTCTGTTTCCTCCTCCCTCGGAGGCACATTGTTTGAAAAGAGCATTCGTGACACCAGTGTTTCAGAATCACGAAGGGCTTGAAATAATTCCTCAGGCAAAAGCGTGACCCTTGTCCGTCCGTAGGGAAGGTTGCTGTGACTGTGCCCTTGATGTCACCATGAGTGGGGAACCTGCGGTGGCCATGGGGAAGGGCTGAGGGGGTTTATTTAAATTGGACTCTGATCGTTACTGACTCCACAGTCACTCCCACTGGTACTGAAGAAGCTTGTCTTTTCCACAGTGCTTTAATGTTGTCGGTTTTGTTTTGTTTTTTTCTTTTTCCTCATCCTTTCTAGTCATGGTAGATAAATGTTTCATAAGGAAATCACAGTTTTTAGACTCCGTGTTCTGGCTAGTGTGTGACTGCGGCTATGGGGCCTGAGATATTTATTTGCGACGGTTTCATATCCACACTCTAGGGTCACTTATTTATTTTTGTCTGTTGAATGATGTACTACAGCCATGTCTTCTTCTGAGTCTTGACCTCTTGGGAATCTGATTCCTCGTAGAAGGAACGGAGCACATCGAGATTTCAAGGGGCTCCCAAGATGCTGAAACATGCAAAAGAAATTGCACTCAGATGTGTGGCAGCTGACAGTTGTTCAGAGGTAGCATGTGTTTTGAAAAGCACTCAAAACACAGTGACTCCTCCCTTGGGATGGCGAGGACCCTGTGCCTTCAGGCAGAGTGCCGCTCACAGCCACCCTGCTTCTAGCTGGTCCCATGTAGAGCATCACCCGTGTGTGCAACAAGCTTTTATTTTTTTGAACATAATAACAAACAAAAGGCTTGGAGAAGAACCACGGGCGCAGGAGGCCTCCTAACCCTGAGGATTGGAATTGTGCTCCACCGCACGGCCCTCCTCCTGTTCCAGGGAAGCCTTTTGCAGCTCTCTTATAGGAAAAGAGCCTTTTAAGTCTTTGGAGAAAGGAGGTACCACCATCCTTGGGGTCACTTGGGATCTCCTGGCTATTTCAAAGGGACACCAAAACAGCAGGGTGGTTCTTACGACTGCCTCCTGCTCTTGGGTCAGAGGAGAGCTGTTGTCTCCACAAAGCATCATGCACAATCCCATTGCCTCTCTCCCATGTGGATCCACCAGGGGTAGTTAGGGGAGGTAACCCGTAGGGGGCTTCTTTCCATGTTGTATTTTATTATTTGAATGTTTAAAATGTTGAATTTTGGACATATTACTACTGTTCAAAAACATTGAATCTACAGTAAGAAGCAATAAACCTGATAATTCACACCTGCGTCTTCCATGGTGTCTGCTTTCAAACTCTGAACGTGGCTTTGCAGCTAGGAGTGAAGGTGGCTTCGGCATGCATGTCACCTCACCATTAGCAAAGTCGTTTTTGAGAAGTTAGCTCTGTAGGGCTGGAGCGATGGCTCAGCTGTTAAAGGCTAGACTCATAACCAAAAATTGCTCAAGTGTTTATGATGTTGGGTCACCTTTCCACAGAACTATGAATGCTAACATAATGAAACTGGCTTCTCCCATTGTGGGTACACCATCTGTCATTACAAGATTGTACTGGGCCAGAGTACCATTCTTTAAATACTTCCTAAGTAAACCTTGGACGTAGTCACAGATAGTGACCTAGCAAGGAAAGAAATACACAGAGACAACTCATATCACTGTGAGCAATCTCAGGGAAATTATTAAATCAAGGTCCATGTTAAATTTTTCTCCCACTGTACAATTCTGCACCTGCCATATACACTTAGAAGTTGTCCTTCTTTGATACCATCAATGTCTTGTACACTTAGTCAAGACCTCAAGCACTGCTATGTAGAACCTCCACGGCTCCTCTGATGGCTCCCCCTTCTGTAGGTAGGTAGAAAAGCAGTATTCATTTGGGATTTTGTGTGTCTGGTTTGGTTGAATTGGAAGAAGAGCTGCTATTGTACTTGAGGATGAATTTCTTTCTCGGCTGTGTAGGGCTGGAAAAATAGCAGGCTAGAAGGAGGTTTGTGACCCAAGAGAAGACACCAGTTGTCCGAGATCACAAATCACAGGGCCTGCAAGAGCAGTGTGAAGCCATTTGAAAAGCTGCCATTGCCATAGCAGATAGGAGACAGGGGTGAAGCCAGCAGAAAGGACCCTGAATTACCAGGCGTCTCCATTACCGTGCTGGACAAGATAACCTTCGGGGAAAACAGACCTTTGCTTTGATCTTCCATGTCTCATAGCAACGGGGCCTACAGCCCATCTTGGTCCAGAACCCTCAGGGTAGACGACTGTGACAAATGTAATTTTGGGATTCACCAAGTTGACAGTTCAACACAGATAATTTTGAAACCTGCATAATGTGTGTGTGATGGCACGTGTGAATCCTTTTACATAGTCACTTGGTCTAAGTCTGAAGTCTGATGCTCAGACTTCAGATTCGTAGATTGATGTTTTTTTGCAAATAAAAAACTGGAAGACTCCTGTTGGCACCTGAACTTCTTCCTACTCTTCCCTTCAGTGTGCTTGTACAGGCTGTGTGCTCTTAAGTCTGAACGCTGCTTGTAGGGGTTTGGCATAGCCCAAAACATTTTTGGACTAGGAACAGTTGGAGGGAGTCTACTACCCCTACCTCACTTTGTAAAGAAAAAAAATAATAATAAATAAACAGATGAAGAAAGGGTCAGACGGTTGGCTAGAGAGTCAGGATATATCCCCAGTCTCCTGTCCTCTTTACAGGGACCACTTCCCAGCTTTAAATGTAAATTACAGTGGCTTTTTGTGGTTTCTGAGACAGCATCGCAGCCAAAGCTGGCATTTGAAGTAGCCATATAGCCTAAGTATGACCTTGGACTTGCCCCTACTCCTCAGTGTTGAGAGCATTGGCATGTGCCACCATACCGGGTTTAGGCAGCAGTGAGCTCCAGGAATCATTTCTAACTGCGTCAGTCTACCACCAGGGGAAGTTCTGTTCCCTGTAAACAAGGGAGCTTGTCCTAAGGAATCCAGATGAATCTCACTGCTGAACTGCCTCCTACAGCTTCAGTGTACCCCGAGCGAGGACAGGGAGAAGAGGCAGTCAGCGTCCCCTCCGTGTGGTGTCCAAGGGAGGAGAGTTCTCCTGCAGGGTCCAACCTGATGAGATGGCCCCTCAAGTGGTGTGTTTTATCCAAGTTCCAATTCACTGTTGCTGCTTTTGTAATAATCTTTACAACTGAATGTTTTCAGAAGAAAAACTTAACACAAGACTTGGCTTTGATTTCATGGAAAGGAAGCCTTCCACTGTCTGAAATGTTTTCTGTTGTCCTGCCTGAAGCTATTAGTGTGGTTGAGGACATACAAGCAGGCGTTCCCTCATGCAGACAGTCACATGCCAGTATTTAAATAATTTAAAGCTGATAACAACAACTAAAAGTTATGTTTGTTGTTGTTCGATTTTTTTTTTTTAACTCTTTGGGGAGGGAGGAGTGGTCTGCCACCCAGCTCCGAAATAAATCACACACGGGGGTTTATTCTTACTTAAGAATGCCCGGCCTTATTTCTTGCCAGCTTTTCTTTAAATTTTGCCACCTGCCTTTTCCCCCAGGGCCTTTGTATTTCTCTATTCTTTTTTTTTTTTTTTTTTTTTTTTTTTTCTCTGTATACTTTTCTTTAGTTCTTACTCCGTGGCTTGCTGTGTAGCTGGATGGCTGCCCCTGGAGTCCTCCTCCTCCTCATTCCTTCTCCTCCCAGATTTCTCCTTCCAGTTATGCTCTCTGCCTGCCAGCCCCGCCTATCCTTCCTCCTGCCTTGTTACTGGCTGTTTCACTCTTTATTGGAGTATCAGGTGTTTTAGACAGGCACAGCTTCACAGAGTTAACAAATGCAACATAAACAAAAGAAACACCTCGAAATAATATTCTATAACATATGTTCAAAGCTAGGAGATATACATACATACATACATATCTTCAAAAAATCAGCTGGTTGTTTCTGCTATAAATCCCTATGTGTATATTTATGAATAAATTGTGTGACTAAACAAATTAGAAAATAAGAGTCATTAATGAAGTAAACTCAAATTGTCTAAAAGCTAAGGATGAAGTGTGGTTTTGGTTTGCAGTACTGGGGTTTGAACCCGAGGCTTTGTGTATGCTAGGTGCCTCCTTTTTCACTGAGCTATACTCCCAGCCCTACCCAGTGTTCTCAAGGAGAAAAAACCAGCACGTCATTATTTTACTCAGATGTCACTTCTGAAATTCTGCCAAATTTGCCTCCCTTCAGTGCAAGGAAAGGTTTCTCTGTCTAAGGCTGAGTAGCCTCTATATGTGGGTATAAACATAAAGGTACTTGGGAGGTGGTTTGACAGTATGTAAATTCTGCTAAGCAGCAGTCTTAGGTTGCACTCTGGGGCCTAAACCCTCTTTGGTAGTAGATTTTAGACAGGGTTTACAGTTAGTAGCTAAGGGTTTCCTCTTGTACAGTGAGCCTCAAATACAAACAGGGAGTGGTTGGTTATCCCCGTAACAGGCATGCCACTATTGCTCTCATAAGCACATCTTGCCAGGTTGGTATAGTTCATTCACAGCTGGGTAAGACCATTGGTGCCGTCACCCTCCTCTCCCTGCAGCCACCTTCACAGCACCTCCTTGCAATGGGAGCCAGCCAGGAGGAAGGATGTTTCCAGTTCAATTCCAGTTTGATTTCTCTGTTTTGCATCTAAGGTATATAGAGTCTTCAGCAACAAGACCCTAGCTAGTTCTGTTGGGTAATGGCAAGAGCCTCAATCAGAAACGTTTAAAAATAAATAAATAAATAAATAAAAAAGATAGGAGCCAGGTTTGTGAACTGTCATCTTCTGAGCATACCAAGGCCATGGCAACAACAGCTGCACCTACTGGGTTGGAGACACAAGTTGGGTCTTCCTAATAGTTACAGAGAAGGAAGAAGCTCAGTTATTGCTGCCCCATTATCAACCAACAGACTCTGGGATGGGGAAGGGCATAAAATCCAGCTTTATCCCTACAGTTGAGCCCACAAGGCTCTGATGGTTAGCTCCAAATTCAGCCACACAAACAGATCAAGTTGAACTCTGAGACATTAAATAAAATTAAAAAAAAAAAAAAACTAGTAAATGTGATAAAGAGATTCCTAAGGAAGGGGATGGGAGGGAAATAAGAGGTTGGTGGAAAGCAACCAGAACATATTATACAAATACACAAAATGGTGAAAGTACAAAACAAAAGGGACATGAAGTTGGAGGGGCCAGGAAGGAATAGAACAGACTATTTGGGATGGATAGGTATAAGATGCTTTGTATACACATAAGAAAATGTTAAAGAATGAAATATAAGTATTTTCTTTAAATTAAAAAAAGCCCTAACCAATTATAAAAATTTCCCAAGTTTATCTGAGATTAACTCCCATGATTTTTGCCAAAATATGACTTAAACAATGGAGCCACCCCCAAACCATCTTTTTATACAAAGTCCTCCCATGGTACTTTCTCAGTAATTTTTTTGTTTGTTTTTCTGAGACAGTGTTTCTCTGTATTGTTTTTGAAACTTGTCTTTGAACTAGCTCTGTAGACCAGCCTGGCCTGGAACTCACAGAGATCCGCCTGCCTCTGCCTCCGATTGCTGGGATTAAATGCGTGCAACACCAACGCCCGGCTTCTCAGTAAATTTTTCTTGGGTTTAGCCCACTCAGAGACACCTGCTTTGAACAGTCAAGATGGGGGTGTTGGGTAGAAGGTGCTAGGCTTTGGGTTTTGTTTGTTTTTTGTTTGTACCACCTAGACTCATGTTCACCTATGTAACATATCTGGATTGCATCTCTTTCTTACAGGCTACAAGAAATTTATGGCTCTTGACCCAAAGTGTGCTTTGCTATGCAGAGCAGTGTGTGTATGGGGGGGAGGGGGAGATAAAGCATTATGAGTACGCTGTGCCCCACCCATCTCATCCACCCCTAGGCTCAGCCCTTGACTACTACAATGCTACAGTTCCCTTTCTCTGATTCTGGACAACCAGACATGGCCATGGATAATCAACCTCATTACATTGATTTTAATAGTCTTGCTATATTACCTATGCTAGCCTCAAACTCATGATCCTCCAGCCTCATCCTCATGAGATGACAGCCTTGTGTAGCCATAACCAGCTCGTTTTCCTCACTCTTCTGACAGTTACTTCTTGCCTTTATTTTTCTTTTATTCCAAGTTTGAATCTGTGTTGATCGATTTTGAGTGTTTCCTTCCTGTTCTAGAAACTTTTTTTCCTAAGTCCTGCAATCCTAAATAATATGTCTAATTTCTTTAG